ATACTGATCGAATTGAGTAACCTCCTCCTTTTTCGAAGTCGGTTAAAAATCGATATAGAATCATGCTCACACATTGCATTCATTATACGGTGTCCAAAATAAAAGATGTACAATCATGTTAATACAAAAAAATGTTTATATGTTAATATTTATGAATAAATGATTAATGTTAAGAATATTTAACAGAACGTTAGAATTCCTTTTTCTGTGAGAACATGCATTTTTTTTTGTTTCAGTAATTCCGAGTGCGAGCGTTAGATTGCGACAGTTGTTCTGTTCCTGGACAATGTGCGCGAAAATATAAATTTTAAAATATATGTATGAATTTAATTTCCAGAATGTTTTCAATGACTAAAATTAATTAGCTTCAAACAAATTATGGCCTTTGTATTTTTTATACCTGTTAAATCGCTATATTACTTCCCTATAGCTGTACTTTCCAAATACAAAGTTTATAACATTAATTTATTAAAACTGTGTCACTTTTATTGTATTGTTAATAATAGGGTTCAAACAAATTTCAAACGTTGTTATTTGTTTATAAAATGTGTTGTTTTCTTTTAATATTTTACGAATCAGTGTATAAAAGAAATGGAACATTTCTCCATTAAATTGAGGTTACGTGAGAACTAACCTATTCTGCTACAGTTATAAATATATATAAATGCATATAAACACATTGAATAAAAACGTTCCATTTGCAAGTGCTATATTAATATTTCTGTTATATCAGAATGATTACGCGAATGTTTCAAAAAACTGTAATAAATATCACACACAATAATGGAATTCTTATTAAATATTTTCATCATTGTAACAATGTCTCGTTTCGAAATGTTCAAGAAACTGTATTTTTGAAAAATACAGCGTTGGTGTATTCTTCAAATGAGCGAAATGTTCCCAAAAGGCAAAACATTTCTGCACATCAACAAATGCATACTAATATCTTTAAAGGACCACTTTTATGTAATGCTACTCCAGTATTAAGCAGTACAATTCCTGTGAATCAGCGTTTTACTGTAAATAACATTAGACAATATTCAAGTTCATCACCTGAAATTTTAAATCAGACTGCAGTATATAGTAATGGTGTATGGCAATTTTTTTCTGAAAGTTTACCTGTAGAATATCTTACACAGGCCTTAAAGATATTGCAATCTGAAACAGGCTTACCATGGTGGGCAACTATTATTCTTACAACAATTATGCTGAGAGTATTTATAAATTTACCATTAACTATACATGATGTGAGTATTGCTGTTATACTAAATTTATTTTATCCCAATATCGTTATATACTCAACATGGACTATTATTTCACAATTGCTTATTATTTCAGCATCAAGTTAGAGCTAGGATACAAAATATACAATCTGAATTAAATGAAACTGCAAAAAAATTACAAATGGAAGCACGAATGGGTATGGCAACATCTGGATGGACTGCATCATATGCAAACGCTGCCGTTAGACGTGCTGTATGTATATTTTGTACATTAAGTACGCCAATTCAAGCTTGATAATTAACTAAAATAATCTTTATCGATCAAAGTTCTGAAATATCCAATTCAAATATCTACTTTTTTGTAACAGTTAGCTGAAGAACGAACACAATTGTATCAAATACATAATTGTCATCCATTAAAGAGTGCTGCAATAATAATGCTTCAAGCACCCATATGGATTAGTCTCTCCGTTGCATTATCAAACATGTGTTACATGTTACCTTACAGGAATAATGGTAAATAAAATATTTCTTTTATTTAATTTGTTTGAATTGGTACCAGTACTGTATTAAATTTATAAAATATATTAATTAGCTGCCTATCAAACCTATCTTCAATTTACAACTGGTGGTTTTGGATGGATAAAAGATCTTACAGTGACAGATCCTTGTTTTGTGCTACCTATACTTTTTGGGCTATCTGGATTAACTGTTATAGAAGTACGTATAAAAATATTTAATTTCCCCACAAAAAACGAATACCTCTGTCATTGATTATGTGAAAATTTTTATTCGTTGTTTAACTAATCTATTTAATTAGATGATGGTATAATAAATCATCACTATAAGATACACCATGTTTAATCAGGTATTTGATTGGTAAAATGTAAAAAGCAATATTTTATTTGAAACTGGCCACGTTATTGTAATATACATATAGTATAATAGTTGTCACAAAATAGAATATAAAAGTAATAAATAATACTTTTCTTTATGTTGATACAAGATTTGGTAATAATACATAATCATGTAATCATATTCAATTAAGCTAATCAAAGCAAAATATTATGAATATTCCTATATTAAAATAATATGTTTGTTACAGATAAATCAGTTGTTATTTAGAGTAAAAAATGAATCGAAATTTACAAAGTATATGACATACTTTTTGAGAGCAGTTATTATTTTCTTTGTATATATTATGGCATATATGCCATCAGTAAGTTAGACATACATTATGAAAAATTTGAAATAATTTATGCATTTCCTATATTATAATTATTCTAATATTTCAGAGTTTGGCTTTGTACTGGACCACAAATAATTACTGTACACTGTTGCAATCTCTTTTGCTGTTATCTCCAAAGATCCGCAGACTAGGAAGAATACCTAAAACACAATCTGAGTACCCACATCCATATTCAGAATTGTACAAAAAATTAAAAGACAAAGTTGTTCTAAAATTAAAATAAATTAAAATGAAAGCAATAATTTGTGTCTATTATATTCAATTTATAATGCAGATAACAAAGAGCGATCGTTCATATTGTATGAAAATTCATCAATACAGGAAGCAACTTGATTTACAATGTGTTAAATCTTTTGGTTTTATTTTAAGATCTTCTTCCTAGAATGAACATAGTGCTGCCTGCACCTTTGATCTTGATCGTTTCGCGATACTAAGGTCGTAAAAAATGTCACCTTGCACAAGACGTCAATGATAAAAACAGGATGAAGTCACCCAAAAATTCCTATTTTCAGATAGCAGATTAAATCACGTTCTTATTTATTGCGCCGAACATGCAATATACATCAAATTCATTTCATTAGCAAAGAAGATCTGAGGAACGGATTTGCAGAGGAAACCATGGCCAGTATGAAGTTCTCCACAATTTTGTTGTGCGCGATTATTTGCATCGGTTTCTTCTTCTGTGTAACACACGTATGTATTTTTATTTAGTAAATCATCATTTTGATTTAAAAATATTATCTTCGCGTCAAATTTTATTTAGCTTCAAAATTTTATAAGCTGCAGTGAAGGATAAATAAAAGTACATTTATGTGGCATTTGTAAATCTTATGAATATTCAGAGACATGTGATATTTTAGATTTTTGTTTTAGAACTTTTGTTAGTAGAATTTTGTTACATTGACATCTTTATATGAATTTTTAATCAATTTTTTTATCAGTGTTTGTGGAAATGTAATGAGAGTATTATACTTATTTTCTTTGGGTATTTAACTGTGTATGTTTTAAAAATATAACAACACGTTTGAAATTTTAGACTTGTAAACTTTTAAAATTTGAAAATTTAAAGATAGAAGGTTTGAGAATTTAGAAATTTAGGTTTCTGGAAAATTAATAATTTGGGAATGTAAAAACTTAGGAATATAGAAATTTGATAGTTCATAAAATTGGAAATCTGTAAAGTTAGAAATGCAGATACTTAGAAATTGAAAAAATTCGACAGAATTATTTAAATACTTAGATTAATTTAAGATTTAAATTTAAGTCAATATGATTAACTGATAAGATTAAAATACATGTTTATATAATTTTATAATTTTCAGGGAGAGGTTCTTCCTTATCCAGGCGACTGCACAAAATATCAGCACTGTGACAACAGTGGTTGTTTCGTACTAAGTTGCGGCGCGGGAACAGAGTTTAATCCAAACATTGGAACCTGTGACTACCCTCTGCAAAACCGCGAAAATTGTATGAATCGTGGATAAATATCCCACGAAAATACTTCTTGTAGTGCAAATTGGATCGGTATTACGAAGAAAACTATGAACCGGACACTTATGTTATTTATCAAAACTATTTTCAATTGAATAAAAGTTAAGCTGTTATTTATCTATTTGTACAGTGTTAAATGTCAATATCAAACATAAAAGCTGTATAAATTTAAAATGACAATCCCAAGTTTGATATGTCTTTTGATTAAATAATGTTATTCCGATGAGTTCGAAGTTTGCAATGATTGAGCGAGATCATTGGTAAGCAATAGTAAGTACTTTTGATAGACTGCACCATTGTTGTTCCCATGATGATCGTTGACAATTGCTAATTTAGCTTAGAGTGGCCCTACACATCAACCGAACGACGTTTGATGGTTTATGCACGCTGGTTACTGCTCGCAAAAACTATACTGCAACAGTCCAGGGACGACCTTTGGCCGGGTGTCAGATAGATAATCGGCTGCGTTACATTAAAAAGAATTTGATAAATCGTTTTGTCTGTTCATTCATCGAAGCGTGGCTTCTACGCTGACGATTCGAAGCGCGATTATTTGATTACTATAGTGTACGATAAAAATATCACGAACGAAGCTATTTCTTTGTATGCAAGAGAATGAAAACTCGGTCGTTCATTTTCTTCGGTGTAATATGTTGCTGTTTGCTAGTTTCCGCTGCTAAGAGGGTCAAAGTGGTAAGTATAAACAAAATTCATTTTGGTGTTAACCATTTGATGATTTCAGAAATTTGGATACATTTTTAACAGATGCATTTGTTTTTATAATAAATAAGTATTGTAAATATTGTAGTAGTAGGATATTGTTGGAAATGATTTAAGATTATTGAAACGAGTTAGCTATTTGTTATTTTTTGGAAATATTTATTGTCAATAATTTTTAAAATGTTATATTTTCTAAAAATGAAAAGCAATTTCTTTAGAAGTTTGTATGTTATTATTGAAACTTTAATAAGTATGTGTAATAGTTACAAGAAGATTTGTAACAAATTTTATTTAGTAGTGTATTGAAGTGCAGTTTTATTACGGAATTGGTTATTGACAAATTATCTAATTACAAATGCTTGTATTAATGGTTTGGAATTATAGTCAACAGAAATAATGAAATGTTGTGAAAGTATAAGATAAGATAGCAAATGTCTTTAGGAAATTGTGGGAATCCCTTTTCCTAACCATCAAGTTAGGAAATACCAATCAATAATACGCATTGATCGAAAAAATTTGTCCATTTTATTTTCCTAACTCTATTTAAAAAATGTAGTTCTTATATCTTCAATGAACATAATATTTTATTTATATTACTATTATTTTTTTTATATTATATTATGTATACATTATATTATTATACTATTGTTTGTTTCAGAAATCTTTGGATTCTATAATTTCCAAATTTTGTTAGTAAAATTCTAAAATTTTCGAATTCATAAATTCTTAGATTTACATAATTTTCCATAATTTTTTAAATTTTCACGTAACTAAAAATCCAGCTTCCTAAATTTCAAAGATTCTCCAATTCTCAACTTCCCAAATTCTCATTCCTTCAAATACGTCAACATATAACTTTACAAATGAAATTAATCAGCAATACAAGTAGTATCAATAAAATGAGAGTCTAATTAATATATCAAATTTCACCCTACATACACATAATCGTAGCGACTTGATAAATATATTAATTCAAATTACTTAACTCTCATTTCTACCCCACCCAAACAAAATACTCAAGTTGTACAGAACTTTAATTAACATATAAAAATATAAATAAGCTTTCGCTTCAATTATTTAATATAAAAACAACATGTTCTACAATGGCATTTTCAAGGTGGATTATAATGTATCCCAGTATGCATAAAAAATTAAGTAAAAGATGAGGCAGTTTTTAACCCCCGAAGAGTTACTGCACTCAAATAGTTACTGCAATGTACAGTGACTCATAAATATTCGTACACTATAATATTTTAACAAATGCTACTCCGTATATTTATATACAAGTAAATTAACCTATTCCTTACTTTTTGTTATCATAAACGTGTACTCTTCTTAACGATACTGCAAATTTTATTTATTTAAACTAATCAATTTGTCGTGCAACAAATCACACATTAGAAAAAAGATATTAAATTCCGATGATGCATAAATATTGGGACATTTTTCACAATATTATGAATCGTACCAGCCCCATATGTATATCCGTGCAATCACTATGATTCTTTTCACAGGAGGGCAAGGAGTTCGAGGTGCGGCCATACCCGGAGGACTGTTCTAAATATCTATTATGTCACAAAGGTGTATGCAATCTTACAAACTGCCAATACACCTACGTGTTCGACCCATCTACCGGCACCTGTACTCATCGAACACGAGGGAACATCAACTGCGATTATGGTTCACTAAAGAAGCACAGCTTTCCGTGATCCAGCCTCAGCTCGTCTGCCCATTACTCAGCACCTGTGCACCCACTTCACGGAAATGTAGCCTATCCAGAATAAAACCGCTCAACGAGTAAAGCACTCATGCGTATTTGTCTTTCATCTTTTTTTTTCTCTCCCGTTTCAGCGCGATGTTTGCAGCCGCATAGTCGGCCTCTTTATCAGCCCCAGAGTCTCTGATTGTTGTCAACGAGGGCCAATTTATCCTCTCGGTAGTCAATTGGCAAACAGTTCTGTGTGCACAGGCTCGATTGTTGTGTTGATAAAGCACGATTGTATCTCTGTCTTTCAACCGCAAACGCGATCGAATTCTTTCAACAAGTACAGGGACGACCCTGAAGTCGGCGGGACCTGGGGAAAGATTGATATTTATTTACGACCCGGTTGAATGCTGAATTAAGTTAGTAATGGGTGTTAATAAGAATGTTATATTTGTTTGATTTTTTTTGAGAGAGATTTTGATTCTTGTTGTATCGCAAATTTATATGCTTAGTTGTACTATGAATGGGGCTGTAGCAATTGGCAATATCGGGATGCTATACCGTGCGAAAATAAGTGTAAACTTGAAGATTTGAATGTTTTCTAATCTGTAAGTTTGTAGAGTTGAGTGTTTTTAATACAATATTTTCAGTTGAATTATTTGTGATTCTGGAAAACTGTAAATTTCTATTGTGACGTTGGAAATGAAGAAATTTATCATTTTACGATTTTGGAAACATGAAAATATCTAATTTTAGGAGTTTGTGATTTTAAAAATTTGGAACCTTATGATTTTAAAAGTCTATAATATTGAAAATGTTTAAATTTCTAATTTTATATTTGAAAACTTGAGGATTCGATAATTCTTGGTTTTAAGAATTAGTGACTTTGAAAATTTCTGATTTTACAAGTTTGTGATTCTGAAAATGTGAAAGTTAATATGTTTGGAAATTTTAAAGCTGGTAAATTGAAAAATTTCTATATTGGAAATTTTAATTTAAAATCTGAAAATTTCAAAATATCTCAGTTTAAAATATCTCTTTTAAATTTAAAAATATAATAACTCGAATGTTTTATAACTCTCAAAATGTGAAAAATATGAGCTGTAAATCTGACAAAACTAATACTAATTAATTTTAAAAATATGAAAACTTGAAGTTCCTGCAAATCAAGAAATGTAAAAATTTAAGAATCTAAAAATTTGAGAATTAATTGAAAATTTCTAAATTCTTAAGTTTAAAATAATTATTAAAATTACTTAATAAATTCATAATTATAAAAACTTGAAGGTTATAAAACTCAACAAGTGCAAAAATTAAAAACTCTAAAAGATTCAGAATTTAAACTAAAAATTTCTAAATTTCTGAGTTCGAAAATTAAGAAATTTAAAAGGTAAATTGCAGTGCTTCCTAAACTGAAGTCCCAAAGCAAGTGCCCCATTTGTTCGGTTCTGAGGGCGACACTGAACAATTGTTTCATCTTTGTCGCTCTAGTTTCAGCGACGATTTTCCTCAGCTCTTCTTTGCACCACTATAATCTTTCTACTTGACCCTCGACCTTCACGGGTGATAACCCTTTCCTTTCCTCGAACCGATGCATGTTTTGCTTCTAGAAGACCAGCTATCTGTTGTTTCTGAGCAACGACGAGCCGATTGCGATCGAACTTCGGTTTACAGGGAAAACGCGACCAGTGCGTCGTGATGCTTGCAGTATCGTCGAGGCGTCGAGGATGATGTCGCGACGCGATCGTTTCTTCGTCGTTCTTGCTCTTCTTTGTGTCGCTGTCGGTTTTACTCACGCGGTATGTGCTTCTTTGCTGCTCCTTTTGTCTCTTCACGAATTGATGGTTCTATCATTTCAACCCCGAAATCTGTGCCCCGAATTTTGGACTCTGAATTATTTATACGATTTCTGGGTCAACATTGTTTCTGGGTCAATTGTTTAAGCTCCATGTGATATTTTTATATTTTTTGTGATTTTTTATTGGTAGTTGAGTGTCTTTAGTTTTCGAGATGATTTTTTTGAAATAATGAAAGCTTGAAGTTTTGTTTGCTGTGAAAAGTGAATTTTTGGAGTAAAATTGTGGACTACTTTTGTGACGTTTGAATATTCGTTATGTGACTTCTTCAAATTAAAAGAATAAATAATTCTTTTTATAACAAGCTTGTTTGAAGAAAAGCGAATAACATCGTAAAATATAATTGTGAAACCAGAAGTTATATATTAAAAAATGTAATGAATGTTTCGATAATTCCTATACTAGTAAAATATGTATTCATAAAATAGTAAAATATGGTGTTTATGTTTGATGCAATAAAAGAGTTATATAGTGTATTATTTCATGTTGCATATTTGCAATACAATGCAATGAGTAAATAAATAAATTTGTTCGGTATTTATTTTATATTATATACTGGAAAATGACATAGTAATTTGTGAAAATACAAAGGCAGAAATTTGAGATTTCGAATGATTTGTGTTGTTTCAAAATATAATAATAGAAGGTTAAATTGGAAAAGCATTTTTGTAAAACAACATAAAATTTATAGCAATACAATCTAAGAATTTCAGCAATCTGTTGTTATGATTTAGTGGTACAGTCGGAAAGAAAAATCTAATTAATATGTATTAATGAGATAACAATTGATAAGATGAACGAACGTGGAATGTGCACGTTGCAATACATAAAAATTGAGTAATGTGGAAGGTTTCTAATTCTGGTTTTCAGTGATAACTTAGTTTTAAAATAGTGATATCAATTTGGTAATGTAGAATAAATTAGAGTAAAATATACGCGTAATGTGTTATGTTATGCAATGTTGTTTGATTTTGCGTAACGCTGTTTGTAGTGTCAATGTTTGTTTAGTATTCATAATTACGCGTTCATATAAGATATTTGATATCGTGTTCACAAGAAATAATCAAATTTATTTAATTATGTTTATACAATGCATGAACTTTATAGTATATTTGGGATGTGTATACTATTATCTTAATTACAACTAGTATAGTTAGGACATACTTGATTCGTATAATCGTTACATTCGAGTGCAGTTGTAACAAATTCCTTGTTATTAAATTAAATCAAACTATAAGTCAAAATAAAATCAAAATAAAATCGAATAAAGTGAAATAAAACAAAACAAAATTAAATAAAATCGAACAAAGTTACATAAAATTAAGCAAAACTACATAAAATCACACAGAATTAAATAAGTTCGAACAAAACTAAATAAAACCGTAAAAAATCAAATAAAGTCGATCATAACTAAATAAAATAAAACAAAATTATATAAAATCAAATAAATCTACATAAAGTCACGCAAAATTCAATAACCTCAATCTAAAGCAAACTAAATTGATCTAAAAACATAACAACCTCATGACAACATATATTCACTACTCAATACATTTAATATTTACTTCCTTACAATATTAAATATCTATGCTTCTATCTATTTGCACGTAGATCTACGATCCTAGAGAACTAACAACAAAACCACCAAAACGACGAGAACCAGTACTTCCATGGTATTCTTCAGACAAAGATGACGTCGATTCCAGCGAAGAACGCGATCTGTCGCGTTCTCCAAAATGGCGGATCGACTCAGAGGAGCCGGCTCCAAGAAAACCGTACATTGTGGAGACTGGAACGAAAAACTGGACCCCCTGGAGAAAAAATCGTGGAAGTGAAATCGAACAGAGGACGGAGATCCCTGAAGATCAACAAATTCCAACGAATTTTGAACAAAATCGAGATTATTCGTTGGAATACAGTCAATTCGAGCAGCAAGAGAATCAAAGGGTTCGACCAGGATCGAGTAGTTCACAAAAGCAGAATGAAAGATGGAACAAACAAGAAAATTCCATGGGGAAGGACTCGCAGTCAAAAATGAAGGATGATCAGGAATTTTATGAGGGAATTCCGCCAGATAGCACGGTAACATTTATTAATTAATTTTTTTGTTTACTTTAGGAACTAGAAGATTATGGTACTTTTTAGAAATATGAAAATTTGAATATTTGAGTATTTGGAAAATGAGATTTCGAAGTTAGAAGAATTTAGAAATTTAGTAATTTGACATAACATAAGTACTTGAAGGCCCAGAAATTTGAAAATTTAGAGAATTTAGACATTTGGTAACTTTGGAAATTTTGGAAATTGGGAATTTGGAAAAATTGGAATTTGCGAATGTGGAAATTTGGAAATGTAGAAATGTAGAAATGTAGAAATTTTAGAATTTGGGGATCTGAGATTTTTAAAATTTCAAAATTTGGATATTTTAACATTTGAGAATTTACAAACTTAAGGATTGAAAATGTCAGAATTTAGAGGAAAAATGGCAGGAAAAAGTTTAAAATGCCTCTTCATAAACTTTATCTATAAAATATCTTTTATTTTCAATATATGAATAAACTACGTATCTAATATTTCCAATCTTATTTAAAAATCCGTGTTAATACTCCAGTATTTACTGTTTAATATTTCAGAAACCTCGAAAAGAGGAAATTCTCTTCTCTTCCCAACAAAAATCCACGGTTGCTCGGTACGATCCGAAAATGGGCGTCCAGTGTCCAGATTCCGATTCGACTGGACAGTTCGTGTATCCTCCAGACTGTAAATTCTTCGTTAATTGTTGGAAAGGCAGAGCTTTCGTTCAACCCTGCGCTCCTGGTACACATTTCAACCCGGAAACTTTGGAATGCGATTTTCCGCATAAAGTCAAATGTTACGGAGGAGAAGTAGCGGATTTTCCATCGGCTGATTATTTGGAATCATCGGGAAAACAAGAACCATTGTCAACTGCCGATAATCAGGGTCATCTGGGATATGGACGAATACCAGTTAGTTTAAATAACTACTTTTGTTTACTTTCTTTTTTTATTAAAAATTTATTTAAACAATAATTGACATAGAAAAATTAAATTAAAAATTAGTCGTTAAATAAATTTTGTTCTTGGAAATAAAGTACACTACGTTAATGCTAATTATGCTTAACATACATAACTTTTTCGTTATTCATTTTTCGTTAAAACAATACAAAATTCATTTTACGTTAAAAAATAATTTACGACTAGTTAATAATTATGACAGGTGCAAGTATTTGTAATATGAACGGAAGATATTTTATAGTAATATTAAATTTGAATCTCAGGAACCACGATGTCCACTTCATTTGACAGGAATGCTAGCGCATCCTGCAGATTGCACAAAATTTTTGCAATGTGCACACGGTGGAACATTTATCAGGGATTGTGCTCCTGGTACAGTGTTTAATCCTGCTATCAGTGTTTGTGATTGGCCATACAATGTGAAAGGTTGCGAAGGTAATCAAGTTTAAACATGTAACAAAACAATACAGTATACGGGGTTTCTCTAAAGTCCGATCCTACCCTTGTATTTCAGAAACGGTTTTAAATATGAAATTTGACCTTAGATGGTCATTTGACGGTGACGCATCTGCAGTTTCTTAAATAGAGACCTTCATTTTTTACTGCATGTTCTTATAGCTCTCGAAACACCACCTATGTTTGTTTTTTAGTGCCACTCTTTTCCTAAGATATGAAGCTTCAAAGTTGATATGTCATCAGCATTCATATTATCAAAGCTGTATCACGTGCAGATTGCACCCATAATCAGATATAGCTAATTATGTGTCAATTTTGAAGCTTCGTATTTAGGGAATGACTTGCACAAAAAATAAGCATAGGCGTTCTGAAAACATCTCGATAATTTTTGTCTGAAATATTTTTCAATATTTAAAGTCGATTCCAAAATGTAAGGGTGGCGTTGGCTTTAGAGAGATTTTGTACAATAAATACTAAAAAATAATGTTGTTTCTTATCAGATGCATTGAAACCCAAAGAAGAAACTACGACGCCATTTTACCCTCCTGAATACGAAGATTATGGTTATAAAAAACCGAGATACAATGAAGAGCAGCCAGTAAAGAAGATAGAATGTCCTGAGTATTATACTGGACTGTTACCACATCCGGAAACTTGCAAGAAATTCCTTCAATGTGCGAATGGAATCACTTATATCATGGATTGTGGTCCTGGGACGGCATTCAATCCTTCAATATCCGTTTGTGATTGGCCCTATAATGTACCTGGATGCAGTGAAAGTAATTAATTAACTAATACTTTAAATTAGTGTATTTTAACATATTATAAAATTATTATTTCTGAAAGTTGGAAACTTAGAAATTTTTAATTTTCATGATTTGAAACATTTATATATTCAAGTTTTAAATTTACAAACTTCAAGCAGTTGGATACTAAATTTTAATATCTGAAAGATGTCAAATTTTCAAATTTTTATGTCTTAAATTTTCAAATCTAAGAATGAGAAATTTTTATAATTTAGAAATATTCAATTTTTAAATCTAGAAACGTTAAAGTTTTAAACCTAGAAATTTTCAAATATTAAAATGTCAAATTTTTAAATTTAGAAATATTAAATTTTCAAACTCTTATATGTCCAATTTCTAAGTTTAGGAATTTTATATTTTCAAATTTAGGAATTTTCAGCCCTACTCATTATAAAATTTTCAAATTTTAGACCTCAAAAGTTCTAAAATTTAGATTCACAAATTCATAAATTCCAATTGTTCAAATTCTCAATCTGACTTAAAACATTTTTCGTACACTATGAATTAGCAATATATACAAGTACTATTTTTCACAGATAAAGCAACAACAATTACACCTTGGTCATCTCACAGTCCAGACTCCAGTTCCTGGCAGCATACAGGAGTTCCATCACCAGGACGCCCAACTCATCCCATGACAACAGCCCGTCCAGATACAGATTGGGTATCAGTGAGGGCAACCCAGAGGCCAGCGTGGCTCACTGACACCTGGACAACGGCAAAACCTGCGGGAACAGATTGGGATTCATTAAGACCTACCTGGAAACCAAGCTGGAAACCATCTACCTGGACCACTGCTACACCACCTTATTCTCACAATCATCATCATCATCATCCCCATCACGGAAACAGTGATAGCAGCACACGATATGATCATCGTCATCATTCATACCACGACCACGATAGCTGGGATCAAACATCAGCTGCGAATCATCCACACACGCAGTGGCACCACAATCATGGAACCAGTGATCAGAGTCCAAATTACAACGGTCATCATCACAATCACGAACATCATCACCATCACGGACCAACGTACGATTCAAATAGGGACACCGAAACTCAGCAACCTTCTCCTCCATTTTCTCAAGAACCGAGTCAAGGAGTTGGAGGTCATTCGCAGGGAAGCTGGGATTCGGTGTATCACCACGATCATCATCATCGTAGACCTTATTACCAAGATGGATCCGGAGAAAGTGATCAGCAAACTCCACAGGTTCCTTTCGGAGAGGGACCCAAAGATGATCAACAAGCTCCACAGGTTCCTTTCGAAGAGGGGCCCAAAGATGATCAGCAAAATCCGCAGCTACCTTTTGACATTAAAGGTGATTATTCGCCGAATACTCCAGGTAATTTACCTGCAAATAGAAGAATCGGTGGAGATTTCACACCTAATAGACAGGAATATGGAAGGACGAACCCTGGATTCTCGCAATCTGGTTCTAATCCAGTGATTCCACCTGGACAGAACATCTATGTGGATAGTGATTACCAGATATCTGCGGATAGAGACTCTGATGTGAATTTGAATAGGTGGAATAAAACGTGGATGCAGCCCAATTCGACGGGAAGTAGAATGCAGCCTGGTAGATGGGTCCAGAGTCAGATGGGTCCAGGACAACCTACACAGCCTTCACCGAATCGACAGTGGGATCAAGGTGACTTTTTATTTTGTTCTTTTTGTGGGTTTGTGTAGAAAGGTGATGGGTAGATCAAGGATTTGTTGAAGAACTTGTAGGTAATAGTATGTGAAGTGTGCGCAATGATGAGTTATCTAGACAGGCAGATAAATCTTCTTCCTCATTTAAATTTCTGAATTGGAAAATTTAGGGATATAGGGATATATCTAATTTTTAGTTTGACATTAATTTTGAGAAATTAAGAATTTTGGAAGTTGGCAATTTTTGAACCTTAGAATTTCGTAATTTGGAAACTTGGAAATTTGGAAATTAGGAAATTTGGAAATTTGGAAATTTGGAAATATGGAAATATGGAAATATGGAAATTTGGAAATTTGGAAATTTGGAAATTTGGTAATTTTGCAATTTAGTAATTTGGTAACTCGGTAATTTGAAAATTTGGTAATCTTAAAGCTTGCTGATTTGGTAATTTTGTAATCTGGAAATTTGATAATTTGCTGTTTTAATCATTAGGTAATGTGGTAATTTAGTAACATGAAAATTCGAAAATTCGAGATACAAGGAAATAGAAATGTGGAAATTTAAATTTTCAAAATTTTTAATTATTATATTTCTATATTTCTAAATCCTCAAATTTCCACATTTTTAATTTGCCAAATTCCTAAATGCCTAATTTTCAAATTTAGTAACTTATAAATTTCAAATTTTCAAATTTCAAATTGAAATATTGACTACTCATCAGTTCTACAATTACCCATCACTACTATTGTATATGTAAATTCAATATTTATACTGCTATACATATATGTATATGTATAGAATGATAGAATGGTACATGGGAAATGAATTAACGCTTCCAATGAACTTTATTAACAAAGGGTATATATGTGTGCAACTAAACATTTTTTTCTTTATTTATGAATTCAAATAATTTATATTGCAGAATATTAACAGTTGTAAAACAAAACTGTTTTAATATAACAACATACTTTAAAGTAAAGTGTAATATTTTGTTTCTAAGCATTGTAATGATAAAATTTCACACTTTTATTTTTCAAATTCAATATTTTGAATGTACTTTAAATTATACTTTACCTGTGTCTTAACGATATTTTCATAAGAGAATATTTTCAGCATTGCATTTTGTATTAAATTTTATCTTCTCTTCTTCCTATTTTCTAATTTTCTTTTCAATTTACTTATGCAAAGCATGTTGGGTTGATTCAAAGTATTTTGCGTAATTTTTGAGATATTGCATCAATATTATTGCTTCTGAAATTTGTTGCATCGTGAATTAACAAAAGACTTCAAGACAAATTTTAGTTTGGAATGAACAAGTACCTGTAATACTTAGAGAAGGAAAACCTTCCTGACAACCGTAAGTACAATTGATTAATAAAACAATTAACCTTGCAACTCTAAGAAAAAGCTGATACTCATTCTGGTCCAAGGGGGGCGATATACTGCGACAACTCCGTAGCTAATTTTATAATTAGTTACTTACAAAAAGGTAATACAATTATTTTTAATATAACATTGTCCTGTTGGGTGTAGAGGTATTGTCCTCATGGTTTTCATAAAGTTATGGGATTTAGACTAATGATGAATATAATAAGCCATGGATATCAGTAATAGTTTGTTCTTTTGTAGGTGTTGCTAACCAAGACAGGAAATTCAATGAAAGTAATGGTGACAGAAAAGTGGACACAAAGTTAGATCTATGGCCTTCGACACCGAATATTTTCGAGTATGTTAGAGGACAATATCGACCAGGTATTTAAATTTGATGTATTTCATGACACTGTTCATAACAATCACATTATTTTTTAATGATATTCATAAACATTATGGACAGATATTTAATTACAAGCTATATTTACACAACCATATTATTTAATATTATATACTGTTGAATAATATTTATATATCAATATTTTTTATTAATACATATTACATAAATAAATTAACTCCATTGAGTGATAGAATCAAAGTGCACGCATGTAATGAGATTGTTAAATTACAATTTCAATTTTTATATTACTTCGTGTCCTAAAGTATCTAAATATTATATTGAAATAATAATTTAAATATTAATTTATTTAACCTTTCATTGTATTTGTTCAGTTTTAGAAGAAATATATTCTCAATTCGACACAAATAATAATAGTAAGAAAATAATCAGTAAATATATTCTATTCTTCATATTTATTTAAAACAAAAGTTATATAATTCAAGCTTACAACATTTTTGGAAGACACAATTAAAAATTGTAATTAATTAAAATTAACAGTTATAACTCTAATTATATGTAAAAAAGTGATGAATATTTTTATAAATAGATAATCTTATTTATTATGAAATTTGCAATATATGTATGTTCGACAAAATACAACAATTTTACAATATATGATATATAATTTTATGAAAGGTATTTGCAATGCAATGCAAGAAGAGATATATTTTTATATGTACATTCTTTCCTGAACTCTTTTCGCAGATACCAAGTTAGGATAGGTTAGTTTAGAGTCAATAATATACTCTCTTATGTTTATATTTTATTAAAAATTCATTCTGAAGGTACTACGTTAAGATAAGTTAGGTTAAGATCAATAATCTATCCTCTTATGTTCATATTCTATTAGAAATTCTTTGTGTATTAGATTAAATTATAAATTCCTTTTGCAGGTGTTAAAAATGCCACATATAACTCATCGAAGCCTCTATACCCAAGTAACATATACGTGGATGTAAATGGTACAAGGGGCCATTTTATTACGAAAGAAATCGAAATCAATCAAGGTCACTCGAAAGCGAGAACTTACAGACCAAACGATCTCCCTTCTGTAAACGGGTCTCGTAAAAACGATCAGAACATTTATATCGACTCTCAATCAACTGGTATCGGTCAGATACCAGTGGTCCTTCAACCACCTTATTATACACCTAATAACACATGGTACCAACATAATTTATTACGGAATAAAAATATCTCCATTTATAACCCTGGTTATCGGAAGCCTAAATATTATTCGATGAATGTGTCTTCTGGTTCTGGAGATTTGACTGGTTCTGGTAATATTTATTTCTAATCAATTACTAATTTTTGTCATTGCAATTTGCTATTAAAAGAAACATTTTCTGCCTATAAGAATTCATAAATTTTTGATGGAGCAGTTTAATAATTAATTGCAAAAAATTTTAAATTAGTGGCAGAGACTTTTTGTCTTGAATTTTTATATATTTATTGTTCAAGATAGATATGTGTTATTTCTTTCTGTAGAAGTATTAAGGCTTTCAAATTACGGTGAATTCAAATCACCTTTCTATTTTTTAAATTATTCAATTATTGATATTTCAAAAAATTTGTAATTTGTCTATGAAGAATATTTAATAATTGATAATAATTAATTTAACAGGTGCAAATTATCACCGTGTAGCCGTACCATCATCAGCTCTCCAACCTCCACCGTATCCACCGCTCAATCAATCACTAATTTTTCCACCCTCCTCAGATTTTTCAAGAGTCGATATTTTCTATCGATATGTGCCACCCTTAAGCTTGCAGCCACCTCCGAGTTTGCATCCACCCGTACATTTGCAACCACCCCTTTATCAACCATCCATAAATCTGCATCCACCAGTATACAAACCTTCAAATCCAAATTTAAACTATCCAATTGGTTGGCGATTTCCAACTGCACCCTCAGTTGAACTTCAGCCCCCGCCTTACGAGCCTGTAAATCGTTCTTCAGAGTTTGTAAACGTTACCGCACCTAATATTAATCAACCAAAAGTAAATACCACTTTCAAACCTCTTGAGCAACCCTTAACACCAACACCTTTACCAAATGAGCAAAATTCAGTATTATCGAATAAATACCCTAAAGTTCCAACGAAGAATATGAAATCGTTTAATGAAACAAAAAGTCGTCAAAATTCGACTCAAACGAATATGGAGGATGTAGTTCCACCAAAAAAGGTGCTGCGAAATTTGGATAGAGCTGGAAAGAAAATATTTTCAACGATGGATCCAAATGTTCCCACTGTGTCCATTGAAGGGGATGAATCGATGACGGAGACTCCAGAAGTTCCAGAATCTAATTTGGATCTGGATGTAGATGTGCTGACTGATAAAGAAATCTGGAAGCCGATATTGGTTTTCGATAATAAGAGCGAAACGACTACTCAGTCGTCTGTGATCATGAAAATCAACAAGAAGACGACTGATGTAGATCTTTTTAATATTGAGGCAGCTCCGTTTGAAGAAGGTAAGTTTATTAGCAGTATCGCTTCCGAATTTGCAAATTTAAACATTCAGGAAGTTGAGAAACTGCTAAGTTTGTATACCTACGTGTTTGGAAACGTTCAGAGTTTGAAATTTTCGTATTTTTGTGTCTGCGAAATTTTCAAATTAACGATATAACGTCCTTAGAAATTTAGAAATTGTCAAGTTATTTAGTTTCAAAATTTAGAAATTTTCGACTTTTCAAATTTTTACGTTTAAGAAATTTTCAAATTACAATTTCACATCCTTGAAAATGTTTACTTAAATGCGAAATTTACAAATTTGGGAATTTTGAAATTTAGAAATTCTCGTATTTTTTTATTTTTAGAAATACGAACATTTCTATGTAATAGACGTAGAAATTCTGCATCAAAAATGTAGAAACTTTCAAATTATTAAATTTACAAGTTTACAAAATTACAAATATTTCTATTTTTAAATTTTTCAATTTAAAATTGTAAATATAGAAATGTAAAAATTTATAAATTTTCGAATTTGCAAACGTATGCTAATCAACACGAACTCTATCAGTGGTAATGTTAATTATATTAATTACTATTATAAGTATGCGGTTTTTGTCGTTTATGTAAAACACGTCGAGCAGGTAAGTATTTTATTATTAAAATTTTGCATAATTGATTGGCATCTGGCATGAAGTGTTTCTGGAACGATTTATTAACACTGGGCTTTAAAAGATTACAAAACTGCAATAACATATTTCCTATTTATTAGTATTCTTCTATCAATAACTATTTTTTATTGAACTCAGTTTATGTTTATTATTATTTATTGTAAGTATTATAGAATTAGTTAAAATGATGCATGCATAACATCATAGTATAGTATGTACATCGAGATAATTTGAATGTATTGCAAACGTTTCGATTTTAGAAAAGAGTTTTATTCCGTTATCGATTATAAATACATGAATGAATTAAATGTTATTTTTCAGAGGAACCACCATTTCCGACATACTATATACCACCAGTCGAACCATTGGATCATTCAAAAAAAGTTTCTATACCAACACCAATTTCTGGTCAGGTGAGAATTGTAAAATTTATACTTAAAAAATAGAAGTTTCATTAAAAATCAATAAAAGGACATTTACATATTTTTGAAATATTTCAAAAATTAAGCGAATTTCATTTATGAATAGTTTAACGCTTATAAAACACAATGATCTTGAAAATAGAGCATTATTTAATTAATTACATCATATTGCAGTAGAACAAAATTTAATATTCTATATTGCAAAAAAGTACATAAACTTTTAAATTACAGTGTAACTTTTTAAATTTTTGTTTGTAATGTTCAAATAGGATTGTGATACCTTTATTCAAATAAAATTCTGCCAAATATAGTATGATTAGTTATAATATGGATAATATATTCGCATCAGATGACACGTACGTATACGTCATGGCATACGAATCACGTGCAAATATGCATGTTAGTTCAATAAAAAATTCTTCAGTTACAAAGTGCGGTAAACATTTACTATAGACATGAAAGTGTCGAGTTAAAATGTTCTCTTTTCATTAACAAACGAAACTAAATTTTTTATTTTCGTGACAATTTATTTCCCCACCGCTAGATGGTACTAGTTGTATACTTTTTCAAATTGTGTAACAATATAAAATTAAAAACAAGAAATAGGAAAATAAATTTAATAACATATTTTTTACTAATTCAATTCAATGTCCTATTTAGTTTCTTTGTTTGAAATACAGCAGTTTAATCGCAGTACGTTCTTTTGTTTAATATTGCATTAGGTGGTACGGCTTAGGGGTGGTTCTGGTCCTCACGATGGCTACGTAGAAGTTCAAGGAACGAACCCTGGTTGGGGAATTGTTTGCGATTCTAGAAATAGATGGACTTTAAAAGAAGCACATGTTCTATGCAAACAACTCGGCTACACCAGGTATTTTAATATCTTCTACATTTTCATTGATATTTCAAAAAATTATACAAATAGCCATCAACGTTAGGACCAAACAGAATAAAAATTAATAACAAATACATTACTATATTCATAATATATCACAATAGTATTGATCACAGATAATTGCTATCACGACTTCGTTGCATTTTATGGTAAATATGTTATATCATAAAATTGAAATAGTAGTCTATCAAACATTAATGTATAAATTTCACGATTAAAAATATTGTCGAAAATTTTTTATATTCCATAAATATAATATTTAAAATTCCAATTTTTAAAATTCTATTAATTACTGCATCTTCTTAGAATTGAAATTGCAATATTATATCATATTTTTTTAAATAAATCTTGCTTATTAGAAAATATTTGTTTATCGTTATTCTTTTATTAGCAGTATTTAGAACAGGTCAATAAGTGAAAATGTGTAGTTGCTCAATGAACTAATTCTTTAAAATATTACTAAAATTTGCACTTAAGCAAAATAATAAATTATGTTTTACTTAAATAAAATAAAATAAACTTATTTCTTAAAAGTATTATTGTTAAAAATTGAAGAACTCATGTAACGAAAAATTAAATCGAATTTACATATAATAATTAATCTTGTACATAACAAAAATCTTTTCTGTTGTTAACAGAGGTGCTGAAATGGCTTGGCAAGGAAGGAACAATCGAAATGGTATTCCAACATGGATCGCGGCGAACACCGTCTCGTGTCAAGGCGACGAGGCCAAGTTTCAATCGTGCAAGTAAGTCTCCGTGATCATGAACCACGATCGTGCAGATACCACGATGAGTCACAATTAGTTCATTTGACAGATCAATAAAAATTCTAGTGACGTTAACGAAATTCAAAATAAACATGCCATATATCATCGATTGCGTTACGAGCTACATTCTGAGAAATATCAACAAAGCTTGCATGAAATATCTTCCAAGAAATTTAACTGCCGATTTAATCAAATACATCTTGAACTTATCGTTTACGTTGTACAATATGAATCACAATGTAAATTCTCCACGCGGCAGATATATCGTTTGTGATTCTTAGTTTCAAAATAATTATTCATATTTTACGATGTCTTATCGTGTTTGTAATCATTTGTTTAAACTGCAGTTATCGTACGAAGATAATTATGTTTTGGAGCTTCTGAATGTGACTTGCAGCTTGATGTTTATTAAAGCGAAATTAGATCAGCTATCGGGCAAACAGTGACAAATCAGATGATATCATACATCTTTAGTTATTTCAAGTTAATAAGAAATGTGGATCTAGGGATATGAAGATACATAAGGGGTTTGGGGATATAGGAAATTGTAAACATAGGGACTTGGAGGTATAGGGATTTGGAGATCACTATCTGTAATTCTACATAGTACATATAGTACATAGTAATAGTACATATGTATATGTATTATATATATATGTATATAGAGATTTAGGAATACTGGGATTTAGTGTTGTGAAGATTTACAAAATTTGAGAGTATAGGGATTTCAGGATATAGTAGTTTGCAGATATGGCGATTCAAGAATATGAGGATTTAGGAATACTAGGAATTTATAGTATCTAGAGATCCAATTATTTAGGAATTTGAAAATCGAAGAATCAACAGATCTAGGAATGTAGAGGATATTTAGGCATGAAGATCAAGATATTTAGGCATCTAGGAATTTAGGAATCTAGGAATCTAGGAATCCATCATTCTAGAAATCTAAAAATCTAATAATATACGAATGATATAATCTTGGAATCCAGAAATACATATAGTGGTTCGGAAGCTATGAGAATCTAAGAATATATGAATTTAGTGATTTTTGGACTACAATAGTTATCCTAAAACAGTAACTAATGAAAATAACTAGATACTTAGGATTTGAAATATATACCTGAAATTTCGAAAATGAAAATCAAATGAATTAAATAATTATATTTGTATTATGGTTAATAGCTAATGATTAATAAATTCTTTTCTGTGCTTATCAGATTCACACATGAACAAGAATGTCGAGTAGAGAGAGATGCGATAGGCGTGAGATGCGCGTTAAATCGTGTGGCACATTGTCGTAAGGACGAATTACCATATGAAGGACAATGTTATCACCTAGCTGATCCTGATAGCGGATTAAATCACGCCGAAGCATTGGATTACTGCGAGCATAGACAGTCACGGCTTATCGACATCACCAGCCAAGCGGAAAACGATTTCATCTCCGAGTGGTTGGTGCAAATGCATCCGGAAGTTGGCGCGATTATGACTTCCGGCGTCGGTTTTACAACATTCAATCGCACCCTCTGGGTATGGGAAGACTCCTCGCGCGCTAAGTTCAAGTGAGATTTCACTCGCTATCATTTCGAACATTATCTTTTATATTATAATCGCATTGCAGTATTTCATACAAATATGTGTATGTCCTTTTTCTACGATGTCCTTCTCTGTCAGATTATATTTCATTTTTTTTCTTTATTTTATTTATATTTACTTTAATTTATTTTGCCTTCTATTTTATTTGACACATTTCGTTTTTAATGTATTATGCTTATTTTTTTTATACTTTACATTTTTGTTGTATTTTTATTGTTGTTTTTTTATTTTTATTTTTATTCCTTATAATAGTAGAGTTTACATGTACTTCGCAAATTTTATTATGTTATAGATACTTATATAATTGTAATGAGATTTATATTAACACGCTAATACGTGTAACGAAAATGAATACATTCATGACTATATCATAAATTTTCAATTTCTATATTAACAATGTGATCCATACTCATTCTTCAGTAAATAAGTATTTGACTATTGCATAATTTAAGAGAATATTGTATAATTTAATAAAATTATTCACATTGAATATTACTTAATTGACGTGTAGAATTGATATAAGTACATCAATATTTTGTATCTGTCTTTTAACGATATTTCACCCGTTTTTATTAAAACTTACCTCGTTATTTGATTGAAACTTCATAGCACTCTTTCATTGACGAAATTTAATGCACTTAGATTTACGAAATGGTGGCCAGGATGGACGGAAGATAAGAAGATTCCACCGTTCGTGGGTTCTCGTCCTCTTTGCTTGGTAATGAAGCGCAAATTTCCGTGTCACGAAAGGCCAGATTCAATTTGCGTTGCTGATTACTTCTTTTGGGACACAGAAGATTGTGCCACCTCTTCTAAAGGTCACTCCTACATTTGTAAGAGACCCTACGATGATATTGGTAAGATCCGTTTAATTAACTTCTTAACACGCTTTACTTGTTAACCTCTAATGAGTATATCTTTTATGTACACCCTAGGTCTTCATATTCAACAAAAATATTTGTAGTTTGGTAATAATACATTATGGTATACAAACATGTTTACAAACTATTTTATTAAGTTGATAAAATTGACTGATAGTTAATTGATTATTTGAGTGATTATACTTTTGTACTCTTGTAGTATATTGTATTTCATACCTGCATGTTTGGTAAACGAAACAATTTAAGTAAAGAAAATAATCAGTTTTTAATTATGATATTAAGTTACAAATTAATTATTATATCACATTCGTTGTGGTTTGTAATTGAGCAATTTTGATGCCTTATAAAATCAATGATTTTAAAGCAAAAAGTATCATGTGACATACATATGTGTACACATATTAACTTACAATTAAATTCATGTTTAAATAAAACTTTAAAGGGAGCACTACTCATACATCTAATATGCATATATGTATATAAATTTTGTGCATATGTTTCATCTAAAATATATATATCCAATAAAATGAAAATATATACAAATATATCTTAATAGAAAATCAATATTGAGTACATTGTATAATTTAGAAATTAATTTTCTCGAAAAAAAAATTTTGCATGAAATAATTTGTGTTCTGTGCTTTCAAACTGTTTCCATTTATATGTTTAAATTATTGTTTCAGGTTGTATTTACGGAAAAGGAGGACAATATGCCGGAAATGCAAATGTTACAGCATCAGGAAAAGAATGTCTTCCGTGGAGCGACCCGAAAGTTTCTCACCCTCTTACAGTAAACGTCAGTATCAATATTTTCTTCTCCATTTCTATAATCTTATTCTTCGTGTGTCTCGTATTATCTCACATGTGTTTTCGTCTCTTTGAAATAAGCAGTCCATATTTGTTTGGAGTTTACGATCTTCCCTATGACTTATTTTTTGACATCTTACGAGCCTTTTAATGACCTACTTTTTAAGATCACTTTTATGACATTTTCAACGCTTTACGACTTTCTTTATAACTTACTTTTTGAGGTTTTAAGGCTTCGTTTACTGATATTTATGCTATATTTGTATGGTAGGTGGTCAATCGAGAGTTGAGAGAGAAATTGAAAACTCACAATTACTGTAGAAATCCAAACCCGACTAGGGAACCTAGACCATGGTGTTTCACGGGGCCAGGTGCTGAACGAGAATATTGTGACATTCCGTCTTGTGGAAATGTTGGTAAGATTCATTAAAATCTTAATAATATCAACTTGTACTTTTAACAACTATTTATAAAATATTTTGTAATTTTTTGATAGAGAAATATATTTTTTCAAGCATTTAATATTATTTATTATTGCACAGTACATAACAAAAAATGTTAAATATCATATAGATAAAATCGCTCAGGCGGGAAAATAACAAATTTTGTGTATTAAAATAAATTACTTACAGTCGTATGTAATTATAGAAACATATACACTAATTTTATTATACTGTTTATGTTACAGGAAAATAGAAATATTTTATTTTTTTGGGAAAATTGTGATTTATCGTTTAAAAGACATATTTAATATCATAATTATTTTAGCATTAGACACTTTATGTAATTAATGTAGTATTAGATATTGAAATTAATTAATTCAGGTGTGTATATGCATAAGGGAATTAAAATATCACGTTAAATTAAATTAAAAACGTAGAGAAATTGTAAAATAGAATTAGAAGTAGTTAAACAAATTCAACACAATAAAAAGTTTAATTTCTTATCACAATAAACTCTGCTTATAATAATAAAATTGTTAAATTTGAATAATATGCTGTATTAGTATGTATGAAATTCTATATGAATATGGCAATATAATAAGACTTTACGGCAGTTAATAGATTGCAAAGGACTAAACAGAATAATAATTTTCTTAGGTTCTCCAAAATCTCTGTTAACTGGAAAATGCAAACCTAAGCATTTTGAATGCTTACCAGGAGAGTGTATTCCATCACCATGGGTTTGTGATGGAGACGAGGTATAATACACTTTTTTTATACAACAAAAATACAGTTTTTACTAAAATGTGTTATATTCTACGAACAAAATAGCTGATTATTTCAAAAGTTATTTTGAGATCAAGTCGGTTGATTATTTAAACAATGTTATAATTCTATAAATAACTAAATTGATTATGCAAACAATTTTGTAATTCAATGAAAAAGTCTACTAATTATTTGAAAGTATTATATTCTGAAAACGAGTCGGTTAATCATTTAAAAAATGTTATAAATCAGTTGATTATTTAAAAAACATTAACAAATCGTAATATAAATTTGAGGAAAACGAATTTAATAATTGATTTTAAGGATTGTACAAATGGTGCAGACGAAAAAGATTGTGTCTCGCACATGGATTTGTTCCAAAAATATTCTAAACAAAAGCTGGAGGGATACGATGTCCAAAAATGGCTGAACACACCGTTAAAAACATGTGCTCTTAGATGCAAGGAGGCTGATTTTACCTGTCGATCTTTCTCACACAAGTACATACACTTTTACTACATATTATTAATTAGAAACTGATAATAATTTACATTAAATTTATTGCTTACTATTAATTGTAAAACTAAGAACATTTACTAAAATTGAAACTATTAAATTTGTTATTTAATTTTTAATCTTATTACTATCGAAGTTCGATAATATAAGAAATAATTAGAGTCAAAGAAGTTCCTTATTACTTGTTATTACATAGAATCATAAGAGTTAAAATAAGTTTGTAATTATTTACTCTTTATTACATATTATCACTAAAGTTAATGTTTGAAACTACGCTTATATATTTTCTAACCACAAGTAGATATATATAATTGTTTCCTTGCTGCAGTAATGTAATTCGTCCATTTTGTTTGCATTCAGGTCTGCAGGAAATATTTGCCTTTTGAGCGACAGTAACATTGGCATGACTGGATCACTGAAACCCAATAAAGAATTCGATTACTATGAAATGACAGAAAGAAGCGTAAACTGTGAAGGAATGTACGTCTGTCAAAATCGAAAATGTATAAGTCAAACGAAAGTATGTAACGGGAAAAACGATTGTAATGATCGTAGCGATGAAAGTATTTGCACTGTTGAAAATTTGGATTATGCGATTCGGTTGGCCGGTTCAGAAAATAATTACGAAGGCAGAATTGAAGTTAAGAGTAAGTTAAATTAATAATATTTTTATGATTAATAAATAAGAGAATTATAAAGAACCTCTTAAATATTTTTATTAAAACCTGAACTATAGCAATTTTAATAAACAGAATATGATCTCCTCAAGGAAATTAGATCATCTTAGAAAGTACATTTTGTTCTTAGATTTTAAATATTTTGTACAATCATTTTATCTTAATTATATATTTAATAATATTAATATAATTTCTTCATCTAATTTGTATGTTAAAGTACATGAAATAACTATAATGAGAAGATTACAGTCTTCTCAAACAAAGTAAAATAACTTACAAAATTTACTTACATTGTAATTTATTTTAATTTATAATAATGAATGTTATGTAATGTGTTCAGGACCAAACCTCGTAATCAGAAGATTTTCTTTTCACGAAGATTTATATATTTGGTGGATTAGAATAGACTTAATTGTTTATATAAGAAGAATTGAAGGTTCATTTCAATATTGAAAGCATAAAAATTTTCAGTTCTGGGTGTATGGGGTCAAGTGTGCGACGATGGTTTCGGAATGATCGATGCCAACGTAATTTGTAAAGAACTTGGCTTTGTTCTTGGTGCGTTGGAAATTAGACCAGGAGGATTTTATGGAAACCTAGATCCACCAACGAGGTTTATGGTTGACCAACTGAGATGTCGAGGCAATGAGACTTCTTTACGTGAATGCGACTTTGATGGGTAATTTTAATATAAAAATACAATAACAATCGAATGAAACACTGAAGTGTAATACTTTAAATTTTGAAAAGAAATGTGCTTTCTACCTTGTCTCAAATAATCAAAACAAAGAACAATATCTCGAATTTTATACTCTATTTTAAATAATTCCAATAAAAGACATGTTTGAAAATTGTTCACATTTTAAAGTTTCTAATTTTATTTTTTAAATAAAATATGTAAAGGATAACAATTAATAAACGGTATTCCGTAATATTATTTAGAAAAGGAATTTAGGATTTCATCATTGATTCAATTACTCTGCTTCATAGATGGGGTGTACACAACTGTCAACCAGAAGAAGCAGTAGGTGTTATTTGTAAGACTGCAGTGGACAGTTGTCAGGATGGTCATTGGAAATGCGACAAAAGCCCCACGTGTATTCCAACTGCGTTTATATGCGACGAGGTTGTCGATTGTCCTGATCGTTCTGATGAAAGTTCTGAACATTGTGACGTAAGTAGTATAAAGTACTACAACCCTTGGCCATCAAATTAAAACCACTATAAATTTTCATAATTTTATACGTTTACCGTAAAATTAAAAGGTTTGTTCAAATTGCAATCATGTACTTTATTAGCTACTAATATGATACACTACTACTGTACATAACATTATTAATACATGTTAATATTTTGTATTTCCTTTGTTTTGTTGACAGCTTTTTCCGGCAGGCTCTGTATACGTTGATCTAATACTTTATATCTTCATTATTTTCCCAAATATTTGTAATTCTTTTCAACTCGGATAATGTGATTGGAGAGTTGTAAACTAGTCTTTCGAGTAGGCAGACATTTTATATGACATTCAAATTTCACCTGACACGGTATCGATACTCAAGTCTAACGTAAACGCTTGCAAGGCCCTTAATCGCTCATCACCCACACAATTTATTATCACGATAGTAACAAGTTGCCATGTATACATCGTTATCAATGTATATAGTAATAATTTGCATGACCTAAGACGATTTTCCACATATGACATAATCTTATAGTCATAAATGTGAAATTTTCGTACATGGTCCAAATTCGATGGCCAGGCACAGTATAACGATCGTAAAAACTTTTTACAGGCGCACAATAATGTAGGATCGGAAATTTGGCGGTCAATTTAAATTTTCGTTCAATTTAAATTTTCGTTGAATTTAAATTATTCACCTATACAAAGTTATTTTCTTCTGCATAAAAATTCCAATTCCTATCCCAGTGATAAGAGGACAACGAGCGCCCTATTTGCATTTATGGCAACAGGCACACTTGAGATATTTTCCTGCGTTGACAGGCACCCTTACTTGTCATCCCCTCGCAACTTTCTCCATCCCTATTTACCGCCTCTTCGTTCTTTCCACTTCACCTCTCGTCTCCTTATTATCTATTTGATCGTTTTCATCCTAAAGTTTAACGTTTGGACTTCCAAAAAGTATAAATTCATTAAACTGTATTACAGTCTATCAAGATACGGTAAATGTTGCAGCGATTAAGGATGCAGTTAAGATAATTCCAATTTCTTTTATATTTATACAACGTAAAATTATAACTAAATACAGAAGGACAAAATTTCGTTCATATCAAATAATAAGAATTTGTGCAACAAAAAGTTTTTAATTAAAGTCTGAAAATCTTCATATAACGCATTTCTTAAATAATATTCATGACATGACATAATCATTAATTATTACTGTCCCAAATATACTACTCAATTATTAAATTATTATTGTTCAAAAAATCAAATTGTTTTCTTCATTTAATCATAAAGCTCATGATAGCAATATTTTATGGAGTATTTTATTTATTATAAATTCCAAAGGTTTTTATCCTGATTTAATTTTGACAGATTAAACTTTTATTACTAGTGTAGGATCGGAAATTATCGAGGTTGACGGATTAAAAAGTTTTTCTTGGGAATAACAATAACAGAATAATTTTAATAATTTAACATAAGTATAAGAATCAACAAAAATATAAAAACCAAGTACAGACACTGATACAACTTTTCGGACAACTTGCTACTTCCAACGTTACGACAAGACTGATCCCGACGCCACGCCGTTTTCCTCGTTCTCCCTTGGTTCCCGCGTAAAAAGAAACAAATGCAATCTAATTCTTTGTTCCCTCGCTAAATTTCCGCGCCAAATCGTAATACCGCCGAATTATCTTGGCGCCAATCGTCCACGTTTCCCGCTCGCCCGATCGTATTCGATGAACCCCGGATAAACCGATCCCACAATAATTTACTTATGTAACTTTCTTTTTTTCTTTTCAAATTTATGTGTTAAATACATACATTAGTTTTATATATCTATTTTATTTACAGTTAGGTATACATATATGTTACAAATAATCATATATCATTACCATTAGTACCAATGTTCCATTTGTAGAACATATTTGAAAATTTTTAATTATTTCATGACTTATGTATTTACTTCCACCCCTAATTTTATTATATTATACAAACAATTATAACGCATTAAAATTTATTTATTCTATTTTATTAAAATCGTGCATGAAATTTTGTATAAAATTTGTTTTACTTCATTTATTCTACTTCAAATTTAATATTATATGATTCGCGAATAATTGCAAAAATGATAAACGTTTAAAATCAATTATTTCAGGCACCTTTCGAGATACGTCTAGTGAATGGAAGTTCTCCTTTGGAAGGAAGGGTTGAAGTCCGTCACCATGGTATCTGGGGTACCGTTTGCGATGACGATTTTTCGAATGCAACAGCAACAGTGATCTGCAGATCCTTAGGGTATGGTGGACGAGCTATTGCTAAGAAAGATGGCTACTTTGGACCAGGAGAGGGACCCATTTGGCTCGACGAAGTAAGTTTTGTTAAGTTGGTTTTACTAAAATATTTCAACGATTCAATTCTTAATTTACAATCTACGTATAATGTATAATCTATATCCTATAATTTATTATTTAAATTATTTATTATTTAACCTATAGTCTATTATCATTTATAATCTATCATCTATTATTTATCGTTTAATATCTATAATAAAATCTATAACAATAATATAATCTTTCCCTGATAATATTTATTTCTATTTTTATTTTCTTGTGTACTTATTTTAGTTGGCATTAAATATTAGGTCTACCTGTGAATAATCCATCACTTTATTACAAAGTTAGAATTTAACATTATAAAGTTAAAGGTAACATAATCCAAATTCAAAGTATACTGCCATTTATCTTATAAGATGGCGTCATATAATACCTACAAATTTACACGCATTATATTTAAGAAAAAACAACAATTTCACTAAAACTAGCAACGGAATTGAACTCCAAAAATTAAATTATTCATTGTTACACCTAATAGTATACTTAACATTGCTTTGTTTGTATCAAATTCATTATATCAATGAACTTGAAATTACATCATAAATTCGAAGACCGCATTATTAACTTTCGAACGCTGCAACTGGGTCAGCTGCGACCTAGACTTGCAAAATGAACACAATGATGTTTCAAGCAAAATTGGCACACGAATTTATTCATTTAGAACACTTTCATACAATTAAAGAAATTAAATGGAGTTGAAAGTGAAATTTAAACTGTCGCCATCTTAGTGTTCGATTGTTAATGAAATTCTGCTAGAACGGTCATTTTTTTGGATCTTGCTTAACCTAATTTTTCTCTAAACAAGGTTTTCTGTTTGGGAAACGAGACACAGCTGTACCGATGTGATCACAATCACTGGGGTCAACATAATTGCAATCACGATGAGGATGCAGGTGTAATTTGTACACCTGGGGACATTAATGATTCCGAGGTAAATCGAAACATTCTCGTACGACGAAGATCGCGAATTTCAAGACAGTAGTCTACTTTAAACATTAGATAGATTAAATCAAGTAGTACCTATAGCAATGTCTGTGTTACGAACAAATTGAAAATTAGATAATCAAATTTTTCCCTTTAAAACGTACTAATATTTTACAGTCCTAATATATTAAAACCAAAACATATGTAATTCTAATTCAAAGTTGCAAAAATAGACTATTATTATAGAAACTGTACAAATAATTAGAACTGTAGGAACCTTATAATATAATTAGAGAAATTCCTGCGTTTAGGTAACAATAGGTAACATACAATTAATACCTGAATAGTTTAAGTCGTAGATTTCTATTTTGTTAGAACAGTGAATGATCAAATTATTAGTTTCACTTACAAAAATTAACGATTTTATATTCAACCAATTATTATCTAGATGAAATTATCATTATCTTCGTATGAAGTATTGCTATTTGCAAATTAACGTTTGTTTTAATGAATTAACCCCTTGTCCTACAGTAACGTGTCACACTCGTGATGCACACTACAGTTCGAATGTGGTAAACTAGATTCGTATTTTCACTGTAATTGAATTTTTGGTTCAATTTTCATTGTGATCTGCGTAATCAATAATCACTGAATGTATAATGTATCTAACATTTCAATTTTCTTCTGTTGTTTTCGAGTTATAGGAATAATTAGCTAGTTGTAAATGATGCAACTGTACAGAAAATTGTAGGTTAAGGGGTTAAGTCTGTCATATACACAAAAAAATGTTTTTTATAGTGTCCGAATAATTTAATCATGTACTGCCTTAGCATTTAACGAAGCTCTCTATTATCTGCTTCATCTAATTTATAGTTTTAAGAAAAATTTAAAAGTACCAGGGCAGACCAATGCAAGTGCAATAATTATACGAATTATTTAAAAATTTAGAATGTTGTAATAGTGAGTTATCGAGAGATTTTGTAATCGATCGATAGAATATTTCCTAGTTCAATAAATGATGAGATTGCATAATAATCACGAGGCTAGTTTACTTTATTCCTTGACCCTGATCATCCCCTTTGATCCACGAATGCAATTATCGAATCAATAATTGCAGCCGTACTGGAAAACTGTGACGGATTTGCCAGAGACGAACATCAACGACATACTACCTTCAGATTGCGGAAAAAGATTGAAAGATTTCAGCGAAGATGATGAACTTATACTTGAAAGGGTGGTGCGTGGTTCCATCGCACCGAAGGGATCGTATCCATGGCAGGTAAAGCGGATATTTTTGTAATTAACACTTCTATGGTGTATAGTTGGACGGAAGGTGGAAATTTATAGTTAATGTCAAGGAAAGAGATTTTGAGAGAATTGAGAGAATCTAGGAAAATCGAACCAAGTTTCTAAATTTATCAAATTTCTAAATTTTCAATTGTTTAGGTCCCTGCATTTCTATGTCCCGATTTCCTGATTTTCCAATTTTCCAATTTCTCAATTTTTCCATTTCTCCATTTCTCCATTTCCCAATTTTCCAATTTCTTAAGTTTCACAATTTTTTCTAATTCTACAAATTTTCAAGTATCCAGATCCTAATATTCCTTAATTACGAAGTTCTTGAATTCTCAACTCTGCCAAACATTAAGTCGCCAAATTCTTATGTCTCCAGGATTCCCAAATCCTTAAATTCCGAAACTTCCAAGACTTCAAATATTTAAATTTCTAAATTTAATCAGTTCAGCAGAGTTCTCATATTCAAAACATTTAATAAATTTAATAAATTTAGCAAATTTAACAAATTTAACAAACGTCACAAATATACTACATTTAACAAATTTAACAAATTCATTTTGACAAATTTAATGAATTTAATAAATTTCATAAACCTTATGAATTTCTTCCAATTTTTCAAATTTCCCACATTGATAATACCTGAGTTTTTAAGTAACTAAGTTCTCAAGACTTTATTATAATTCCTAAATGTGCAACTTTCTTATTTACAGTATTTCTGAAAAATGCTATAATTTTCATTATTTATAAAATTTTTCATAATTTCCTATAACATGTGTTGTATTTGCAGGCGAGTATCCGTGTTCGGGGACACAGCAGATCGAATCATTGGTGCGGTGCAGTGATTCTCTCACCCATACACGTGCTCACTGCCGCGCATTGTTTGCAAGGATACAATAAAGGGACTTACTTTGTACGAGCTGGAGATTACAACACAGAGGTAACTGCGCTTCCGTAATTATTCTCATTATTATTCAGTTTGATTATATTGTTTAATTATAAACGGTATAAAACGGCGTTTTTGATTTACTGGATATTTTTACTACTCACTACTCAGTAATATGTTAGTAATTAAATAACATCGAATTGTGTACCATTCTGATTAAGCCTGGATTTAGGAACACTTAATAACCACTTATAGTTAATTTGAAAGAAAATTATAAAAATAAATGGATAAGACATAAACTAATACATTAATATAAGATGAAGTGGGGTAAGTTCGTAAACGGGACAAGTGCGTATACAGGCTATTTTTATTACAATATGAGCGAAATTTCTCCATTTAGTATTTTTGTTTTCTTGTTTTGTTTCACTATATCCCCTTTTATATTTCAGTTTAGAGTACTTGTTTGTCGTAAACTGGGCAAGTGCGTATACAGGCTATTTTTATTACAATATGAGCGAAATTTCTCCATTTAGTATTTTTGTTTTCTTGTTTTGTTTCACTATATCCCCTTTTATATTTCAGTTTAGAGTACTTGTTTGTAGTATAGAATACTTGTATAAAGCAGTAAGAAGCATTTTATAGCAGATTTGTTAATAATTCTGCTCTTGCCCCATTGCACATGAAATAAAGTTTCAAAGTATTTTAACTTTAAGTTACGCTCTTAGCCCATTTTCAGGGAAAGTGCAGATTAGTTGACATTTTAAACAATTTCCTATCAACATCAAAATGTACAAGAAAATTTAAGGTCCTAGTTAATATTAATTAAATAGTAGTAATTGTGCAAAGCGTTTGACAACATTATCGACAACGTTAAGTACTTACATAGCAGACTTACGTTTAAATAGCAACTTTACAAAAACCAGTCTGCACTTACCCCACTTCACCTTATTAATAAATTATCAATACATTACTAACGTATTAATACACAAGCTTAACAATATATCTTGATAAAAGCTACATAATAATTTTTGTAATTCTTCAGACTGCACATATTATGTGCTTCTTGTAAGTTGGCACGTGAATCAATAAAAGTAGCACTATATTATTGCCAACTTATCATACGCACACAGCATTTGTTTGAAATAAAATACAACCTGAATTTTAACCCTTTGCACAAAAGTGACTCACATTTGACATTCGGTTTAATACAATTTAAAGTAAGCATTTTTTAATTAAATCTGTAGTATACATGTAATATATAAACACAGCAAAATAGACAATAATTAATAATGTAGAAATAATAACATCAAAAGAATTCATTAGACTTTTCAAGAAGAAAGTTTTAAAGATGTCTATTAATAACAGAAATACCTTCAAATGGAAAGGGTTATTAATAATAAAATCGATTTATTGATAGTCGGTTAAGAAGATCAAAATTACCTTTAGACCAAATTAATCAATAAACATCAGTTAATATGTAGATTGCTCAAAGAAAATCTTTTGTTATATCGCATGCAAATTTTGAAGTAAGAATCACGGATATTTTGCTCTATAGCGTGCATATTTATGGATTTTTTCAGAATTTTTAACTGCGAAATGAGTTCTTAAAAAATTCGAAAAATCAAAAAATTTTTCTGACAGAAATTATTAAATGACACTTATACTTTTACAGTAGTAGCGTCATGATTATTAATCTATAATTCTTGCAAATTTTTTAAGTTTATAGTTGAAAAAATAAATTATGTGAAAAAGTACTTTCTGTTCCGAATTTGTATGCTTTCTTGTTTAGGGATATTTATTAAATAGTCTTCAGTAGATTTTTCATTTATAATTAATGCAAATAATACATTAGATAAAGAAATAAAATAATTTCTTATAACGATCTATTAACTGATATAATTTGGTCTAAAGGAATGTTTCACCCTGCTTATCCAGCTGCAACCGTTAAAGAAGTGGGTTTTCATACACGCATTGCGCACTTGCGAATCTGTTAGATAGACGAAGGAACAGAAATCGAAGCCAATATCGAGGACTATTACATACACGAAGATTTCCGTAAGGGTCATCGAATGAACAATGATATTGCTCTCGTGTTGTTGAAAGGACTGGGAATTCCTCTTGGCAGAAATATTATGCCTATTTGTTTGCCACCGGAAAATGCAGAATATCCTCCGGGTCTTAATTGTACCATAAGTGGATTTGGTAGCATTCAGACTGGAAAATCAGGTAAATATTTTACTAAAACTAGTTTCGATTTTTTAAAGAAGTAATAATAGTTTTGTGAAATTAAAATTATTAACCCTTTGCACTAGAGGCCTTTTTCCCTCGAGTGAGCCCTTGACGAATTTTTCACGGCTAACTTTAAATGATTTCACCTAGAAATTAACATATATATTATTAGGATTTAATATTTGTAACCTTATATTAGAAACAAAAAAATTTGTTAACCCCTTGGCTGACATCGAGTCAGACTCTTAACGCACGTTACAGTTCTAATGTGATAAACTTGAATCGTATTTGCATACAGATCGAGTTTCGAGTTCGATACCAATTGTAATTTGTATAATTCAAGATCACTAAATGCAAAATATACCTAATATTTCAACGTTCTATATTTATCTTAACACTGTAGTAATAATTAGGTAACTCTGACTGACGCAAACTGTTGCAAAACTAGGTTATGGGATCAAATATTAAGCACTGTATTTTTTCTTGTTTGGGATGTTACAAAACAACCACCACCCTTGGGGCAAATATCGCAGTAATATGTTGTTTGATGACCTTCACCAAGATTTTTTCGTTGTGAGAAAATCTTGCAATCTTCTCTAACTCTTGATAGAATAACATGCAGTTTTCCATTCGATCGATTTCATCGAAACTAGACGTCGAAGTAGAAGTTCGATCACGAGTCTACCGAAAATCTCTAAATTAGTCAACCAAAGTTCCTACATACTGTTAAAAGCAAACTTGCAAAAGCTTTAAAGGTATTTTTATTTCCACGACTGTCAAGGTCGGACTAAGCAAAGACGGAATTAATTCACGATCACGAATTAATTTGAGATATGAAATGGCGACTCTCAGTCACCTCTCGAGTTGCATTGGATGAAGTGGGGACTGAGAGTTACTTCGAGTGCAAAGGGTTGAAACGCTTTCAACATTGCTTTTAAATTACCTTGACATTTTCTGTAAAACTGTTAATTATCTTTCAAATGTTGAAGATTAAAAAATGTGTAATAATCGAGTAGTTTTACTAGGTTAAACACTTGAGGGTAGTAAACAAGTTTTAAAGACGAAAATAATTATTCTGTAAATGACTTTATCATAAATTTTGTATTTATTATTTATTACTGCGAGGTGTAGGAGTTTCATTTAAGATATGACACATTGCTCTAATGTTGTAGCTCATTCGAAAGACTTAAGATACGGTTGGGTTCCATTGTTGGATCAGTCTGTGTGTCGTGCTGAACACATTTATGGTATGGGTGCAATTAGCGATGGTATGGTCTGTGCTGGATATCTTGATGAGGGTATTGACAGCTGTGATGGAGATTCTGGTGGACCTTTGGCATGTTATCACAATGGTAATACAAGCAAATATCGCTAAATTAACAAAATAATGTTATAGTAAACGAGTACAGAATTAAAAATGTTAAGTGTGAGATAATATTAATTAGAAAATTTCAAATAGTTGTGCTACTACCTTCCTAATAGTTGTGCTATTAGCTTCCACTATTTAAATACTATAAAATGTGATTAATTAAAAAAATGATTCTTAATACTATGATAATTATATATGAATAATAGTTCTAAATATTGATTATAATTTCTAAAATTTGGTTATAAATATAATAAATTATTAGTGTCATGAATATCTGTTCACAATAGAATATAAATTCGAATATTGTAAATTACAAAACAATAATATTAGAATGTTTTTAAATTGTAAATAAAATAGAATATTAAGATATTATAAATTATAAATAGAGATTTGATATTAGCATACTGTAAATTATAAATAGGGTACTTATATTACAGTATTATAAATTACTAATTATTAATAAATCAGAATATTCAAAATTAAGGTAAATCACTAAAATAATATAATAAAAAGAGTGAACTGTAAATGTAGCTTGAGCTTCATAATATTAATTTAAGGAAAACTAATATTGATCGAGACGTCTAATAATTTTGTATGCTTTTTTTCGATATAGGAGCCTTCACATTATACGGAATTACTAGCTGGGGGCAACATTGTGGAGAAGCCAATAAACCGGGAGTGTACGTTCGAGTTTCTCACTATCGTCCATGGATCGATCGGAAGATTAAAGAGTCTCTTTCAGGGAGATAGATCTTCGCAAAATCCCGGTGCATTTTTAACAAAAACAAATAAAATGTAATACTTAAATTGGTTACTTACTAGTTGTTTAAAAATAGGTTATTAACATCGTGAAATAAGTTAACATAAATTAAGAACATTAGCATACAATAATTGCCATAATCAATAATTAATATGTTACAAATAATTCATAACAACATAATTAAAATAATTGTTTCTAAAATTTAATATTAATATTTAACATACAATGTTTGAAAACAACTTACCTTTTTTACAATCGATGAATAATTTCATAGAAACAAAACAATACCAAAAAGAGATTCAATAGAAATACTTTAAATTAATTTCTAAATTTTCTTTTACACTATTTTGCGAAACTAAATAATAGAAGTTAATTTATTAAAATAAATGAAACGCTTTAAAAAGACCAAAAAAATAAAACGTGTTAATAATTGTAAGGTATATATAATAACAAGGAATAAAATAAATTATTTTCTATAGGAGTTTGATAAGGTTCATGCTTTTGATGTTGCGATTTTGCAAAGAATACACCTTGAAGAAACGTCCATTAATCTGTAGTTTATTTCATAAGACATCATCGTTTCTACAATAATTGTAATTGCTGTCTTGTCGCTGTTACATGTTCGAGCCTATTTATGTACAATAGTCCCAACACATTTGATCGGATAGAACAAAAAAGCTGCAATACGAAAATCTTCATTTAATCGTGTAATAAAATCGACGTATGAACAATTGAAATGAACAGGAAAATGAAAGGTTTCGGCGACCTACGTTACGAGATTGCAAAAATCTTTGAATATTATAATCGAAATCGTTGTATGTTTAATTATTTGGATTGATCGATCGACAAATGAATTGACCCGTAAACAATTTTTAGCTTTATTGACTTTCTTGGTAGACTGGCAGTTATTTAATTGTAAGAATGAATTTTTCATACATTTCCTAAATACTATCATTCATGCTTTTGTAACTTAAAATTCATAGTAATTTCAGGATTTCAATCTAAATTATTGGTGTAAAGTTTTGTGAAATTCAAATTCATGAACTTTGAATTTTGTAATTTGCAAATTTGTAAATTTTTCAATTTTTGGATTTTTTAGCTGTATAATTTTCAAATTTCTAAAGTTAGTGATTTTTCAATTTTTTAATTTTTCAATTCTCCAATTTTTCAATTATTCAATTCTTCAATTCTTCAATTCTTCAATTCTTCCATTCTTCAATTCTTCAATTCTTCAATTCTTCAATTTTCCAATTTTTCAATTTTTTATTTTTCCAAATACTCCATTTTTTACTTTCCTCACTAAATTCTTAATTTTTTAATTTATATATTTGACAATATTCCTATTTACAAATTTGCAAATTTTACAATTCTCAAGCTTTTTAAATCATCAATTTCTACTTTTCTAATTTTCCATTTCTTCAAATTTTTAGATTTGTAAAGTTCCCATTTCCAAGTTTGCAAATTTTCCAGTATTCCCATTTACAAATTTGTAAATCACAAAACTTTGTAATTTGCAGAACTTTCGATTTATAAATTATATGTGTTATTTTCAAACTTACAAATTTTAGAAGTTTCGAGCTTACGAACTTCTAAATTTGTAATTTTGAAAATTTCTAAGTGTTCCACTGCAATACGAAGATTTACAAATCTTCAAATGGACAATTTACAGATTTAATAATCTAAATTAAATATACAATATTTAGTAAAAAATTATGTCAAAAGTGACTATATAATCAATAAAATAGTAATTAAAAATTATTCTTCACTTTTGACTTCTCCTCACTTATCGTTCATTCTACGTCCTAGACTCAATACTGTTAAAAATTCAATATGTACTCTATAAATTGACAAATACACTTATTATTTCAAAAACTTTTTAATTATATAAATATTAAAAAGGTAAAAAAGGGAGAATTGAGCTGTCGATCGTTCAATCAATTACATTTTTATAATCGAGTTTTTAAAAAGAAAGGACCATAATACAGTGTTCAATTCGCTTGATCCTATATTGTGTCCGTTATCGAAGGACTCCTTTTCGATGATCGATCTCTCGAAACGATCATCGTGTCGTGTTTGTTCGCAAAAAGGAACGACGATCGTCACGAAACTATTCTGGATGGAATCGAATGATAAAACGGAATCACACACAAGTGAAATCGGCGAAAAAAAACCACGCAGATCTACGTAAAACTCTTGGTGCAATTTATAAACGCCTTACAATTAAGGGAATGTCGACAAAAAATACGCTTAACACGAAACTTAACGTTAATTCTAACCCGAATACTCTTAATTTAGGCATAATACAATCCGTGTTCTCGTTCGATGAAAAAGCACGTCACCCTAATACATTGATTTCGTATTTGTAATTGATTTAATTTAAGTTCGATCATAAATTAAATTAAATTTCATTTTTTGTAATGATTCGTTAAATTGTTTATGTAAATCGTTGCATATGCTATATATTTAGAATAACTTGTTTTATATCGAAATTCTGTTTTATATTAAACTTTTATTATTTAAATAATATTTTTTTATTATTTCAATAATATTTAAATAATAATAAATAATAATATTTTTTATTATTTAAATAATGATTTTATTATTCTACTCCATTTTATTTAGTTTCGAGATGCATGGTTATTTAAATCTGGATATGCGAAGCATGTTTTAGAAATTACTTATAAATGTTGAGGATAGAGAAAAGAACTTTCATCAGCATCTTTTTTCACTAAAACAATGCATCAATAATTAAAGTACTATAATTAATGAAAAGTGTAAAAATTTAAAAATTCGATTGTATAAAATAAATTTAATGAATAATTTCAAATATAATTTATTGTACATATATTTCAATTTTATTTTGTAAACCACGTATCTCAGTTTCATTTTTAAATAAAACTGTGTAAAAAACTAAAAAATAAAATACTATTTAAAAGCACCGATCAAATTATATTTCTTTTCTAATCTGAAATATCCATGCTGTTTAAAATGAAATTTAATAATTTCTATAAATTGTTTTGGAGTTAAACATAAAACGTCTTTCCACTTTTTCAGTGATTTGAAAATACTTAATTTTTAGAGACATTTAAAACAAAAAATTCAAATCTTCCATTGATAAAATCAGAATTGTACATTATTCGAATAATTTTTAAACTAAAGTTTCGAATAAGTAGAAAATACCTCATCAAAAATACCTCATCAATAATTTTTTATTCGAACAGAAATATATTTGAAGATTTTGGAACAACATCAATATAGTTGTTATAGAAGTAATAACTTTTAATCAGAATAAAAATATATTGCAATTAAAAAACATTGATTATTCGTAGAATAATTTATATACGCTTGAAATTTTAATTTAAAAATTTTCGAAAATCATACATTATTTTATTTGAACAAAAATTTATTAGTTGCTTTTTCATTAAAAATAATATACTTTCATTAAAAATAATGCATTATTAATAAACAATAGATTAGACTATTTTAACAATAGATTATTATTCTCCAATAAAAATTTAAGTTATTAGTTATTTTAAGAATACCTTCTTTTTATCGAAAGTTTGTATTCCAAAATCGTCAAATATATTTCTAGTAAAAAGATATCACTTTTCCATTTTAAAGAAAGTTTTAAGTTTGTAATTGTAGATCATTCAAATAATGTTCAACTCTGCATAAAAATATTTTAAGAACAAGAATTATAATTAGAATTATTCTGAATTTAATGATCAATTAAAAACCGGAAGACAGATGTTCGTGCCTTCGAATCGTAACAGAAACACGGACTTCCGACTAACGATCTAGTGACTAGACAGTAAGCAAGTGTGTTCGTGTTCTCTCTCAACCAACCAATCAATCAATCAATCAATCAATCGTTCGAGGATGAAAGTTCGTGTGTACTAGAAGGTATCGTTAGGCGATCTCAGATCGATCGATCGGCGATTAACGTGGCCGACAATCCTCCTTTAAATTCGATTTACGGCCTATCCAACCTCTTACATCCTAGATAACGCATAGATATACGCAATATGTTTATGTGTCATATAATTATATATATATACACGACTTTCCTTTTTATGTACAGAATCGCAAACGATGCGTTGTGTTCGTCGAACATTTGAACAGGTCGAGTGTACGCAACACCGGAGTATTTTTTATTTCTCGAAAACTAAATCGACGCTCGATCGATTTCACGGCCGTTCATGTTCCTTTTCCTCCATTTTCTTACCATCTGTCGTGTTAGAAAAATCGTAGAAAAAAGCGAACGGTAGAAAATATTACGACGGCCAGTTGTTCACGAGAAATCAGTCGAGAAATCGGTCGGGATCGAACGAATTCTCGAGATCCTCCGCCATCTTGTGACTCTTCCCGCTTCAACTTTCGGTTCAAGGATCGAAAATGAGGCGTCCGACACGGACCTGGCAAGTTGATTGTTTTTCTACGGTTGCAACGCGACAGAACACTCTTACTTTTTTCTTTTTATTATTTATTCTTCGTGAATATCGACAACGCGACGCTTACACGGTAACACTCGTTAACTATTACTGCTTACGTTCGTACTGTTAATCGTGTATGCATTATTGATAAACGTGCATGGATAATTGTCAACTTCGATATATTCTAACGTGAAAACATTCTCGGGACGATCGTGTCGCCGGACTCCTTTCCTCAATCAGGTTTTTGCTTTGCTGAGAAAAGATGAACGTGCTTAGTGAATATTAGTTGTCGCTAGCGAATATTTACACGCGTGTGAGATGCTTGTATAAATAAGTTTCCTAAGAGATGAAACAGGCGTAAGATATTTATAGATGTATGTGAGCTAATGTCTGACAGAAAGTGGAATATTGAATAAAGGGTCTATGTTAAATTTTCAAGTTAAATTATAATAACGGTGTATGGTGAAAGTGATTAAATATATTGTTTTTATGTCTCAAGGATACTGCTTGCGATAGGGAACCTAAATTCTTGTACAGACGTGATTTAAATTTTTTGATGCTTTGTGCGAGTTTGGAAATTTTTTAATTTTTAAGTATACAAATTTTTAAATATTCAAATTTCTGAATATCCAAATTTCTACAATACACAATTTTTTATTTTCCAAATTTCTGAATTTTTAAATAGCCAAATTCTTACATTCCCAAATTCCCAAACTCTCAAATACGCCAATTTCTATATTCCTAGATATCTAAATTTCTAAATTTTTAAATATCCAAATTTCTATATTTAAAGATTTCCAAGTTTCTAAATTTTCAAATCTCCAAATTCTCAAATTTTTAAATCTCTGTATTCTAAATTAAAAAATTTCCAAATTTCTAAATCCCTAAGTTTGATAAGCTTGAAATTCTTAAATTTTCAGACTCCTAAATTGTCAAAATTTTAGATTTCCAAATTTCTAAAGTTTCAAATTTCAAAATCTCATAATCTCAAAATCTCAATATTTACTAATTTTTAAAGTGAGTAGTCCGCAATAATCGTAATTTAAATTAAATTGTAGATAAACTGTCCTATCAAGATACAAATACGAACCAATTTAAGATCAATCTAAAATAGAACTATCAACAAGAAAAATCGAAACGGCGTTAAAGTTTCATTAGTTACCGTTTCTTAACAGAAAGCTTCCATTAAATTCCAATAAAAAATTGACAAGAGTTTTATTAAATTCCAATAAAGAACTGCCAATAGTTCTATAAAAGAATTATTTACCAATACTCTCCAAATAGAAACTTTTGTTAAGTATCCATTCTAAGGAGAAAACTTTCATTAAATTGCAATAGACAATTGCCAATAACATCGACAAATTCCAATAAGAGATTGTCAATAGTTCTACAATAGAATTATTTACCAATACTTTTAGGAAGAGAAATTATTGTCTAGCACCACTTTCAAATAGAAAACTTTTATTAATTATAATTTTGTAGATAGATGGTTTACCCAGGCTAATTTTATTTAAATATTAATTTATCGAATTGTTCATTGTTAATAAATTTACTTTGCAATATTTCAAAAGTTGATAAAAGAGGATCATATAAATAATATTAAATAAAAAATTATATAAATAATATTAAATATTATTAAGAATATAAAAAATTGTATAAATAATATTTTATACTTAATATTGAGTATTATAATATAAATATTATATAAGGATTATCCTCTTTAAGAACATTGATGTTTACGTTTAATTTTATTTTAAATTCAACAACTAATAGTCACGTATATAGATATTATCATTTTCTTGTATATTTGTAATGATTATGGAATGTGTTATACATGATTGCTACCGATTGAAAATAAATAAAATATAGTTACTAACTTCTGTTTCTAACCTTAAAAAGTCATTTCTAAAAAGGTTAGGAGCCTGCAATTTCTACAAGAATTAAATTACATTAAAAATGATCAAAAATGACTTTAAATTTTATTAATAAATTTTTAGTTAGATATTTACGAATATTTTTCAGTATTAAAATCTTCCATTAAGTTTTAATTAAGCTTCGTAAATAAAAGCAGTTTCTAATCAATTTCACCACACCTATCACAAAATTCATCATAATTTGCTGACCGCCTCAATCATCATCAGTCACAAAAATCACGAATTTAATTAATTAAACGACGAAAGAATATTTTATCCTTCGTGATTGTTGTGAAAATACCTACGTCCTATAAATACAGTTCTTTTCATAAATTATTATAAATTTAACATATTTTAATACTGTTAATACTGTTGAAACAGCTCGAACTGTACATCGACGAATGCTCTTTATTTGACCTATGAAAAAATTGTGTTAAGAAAGGAGTCCGACTTACAATGGCGGCCCGATTTTGGCGGCTCAATCGATGAATTATACTTTCTTTATTTACGCGATCTTCGCGTAGACTCTGGTTCGTCCTCGTACATACGACACTGTCAATTGCATATATAATTACACATTGTTCCTATATGTTTCTCGTACTGAGAGAACCACGTAAAACATTTAAAAACACTAAAGATCTCTAAAAATTCGGCAATAGAACGAACTTCGCTCGCGTACCTAAAAGGATCATAAAATAATAGTACGATGGAAATGTAGATAAATACATTCGATAATAAAATATTGTGTAACGAATAATCTGATCGTATAAATAATATAGGAACAGTACGATAAAAATTACAGGCAAGAACAGCTGCCTTTGATGTTCCCCTTTCGTATTAAATACTTTTCGATAAAAGTTTATAATAAAGCAACGAAAAAGAAGAAAAACAAATTTGTACATCTACGAAAAATCGGGTAAACAATACTGATTCGTTTACGCGAAGCTCAACTTTTTCTTTAAAAGTCGTCACGATGAATGTGTGAACGTATTGTGCCAATACGTTTATATAAATTAATTAAAATAGTATGGGTGTATATAATACGTTTTATTGTGAACATGTGTGGTTGCAGATTGAACTGCAATGAATATTTTTGCGCCATATCCTGCGAGTAATGAAGAGTAACGATACTAACGTTCACGATGTTAGTTTTGTAATAATAAATAATTTGTTTAACACTTTGAAGACTGGCATTTTGTAGGATTATAACAGTTTCAATTGCATTAAGGTTTGCGTGTTCTACGGTTTTTCATTTTGTATGGATGTAAAATTATTTTATAGTTTATAATTTGAATGGTAGACAATTGATTATAGAAATGGAGCTTTGTATGTAATTGAACATTTCAAATATTTTCTTCTTAATTGTTATCAAATCATAAATTTGAACTTTAGTAACTTCAAAAGTTGAAAATCAATCAATTTTAGTAATTTCAAAACTTGAAAATCTATCAAAGTTTGTAATGTAGAAATTTGAAATTTTCTATTTTCAAATTTTTAGTTTTTAATTCCCAATCTGTCAATCTTTGATTTCTAAATTTTTAGTCTTCAATTTTAAAATTTTTGAATCACAGATTTAGAAAATTTTTGAATTTGTTTTTGAAGTTGCAAATTTTTAAACGTGTAAGAACCTAAATTTGAAAATTTCCTAATTTCCAAAATTGCAGAGCCTAAATCTCTATGTTTCAACTTACTGAATTTTCAAATTTCCCATTTCCCATTTTCTAAATTTCCCAACTTTCAAATTTGCAAATTCAGAAACCAAGAAAATTAAAAACTTAATAATTTACGAAGTTACTAATTTAGAAATATGAAAACAGCAAATTTTCAAATTTAGAAATATGAAAACAGCAAATTTTCAAATCTAGAGAACACGAAGACACTATATTTCAAATTTACAAAACTGTAATTTAAAATATGTCAAGATTTAGAAAAATAAAAATTTTAAATTAAATTATTAAACGTCATATCGACAGAAATTACGAATATGACATAACACCGGTCATCAAAGTGTTAAATTGTGAAATCAAAGTATTTCTCTCAGTACGCGAATTTACAAATTAGCGAGTTCAACAGTCTGCTTCATCATTTTCTCTTCAAATTGCGATTTATCGACCCCTCGGTTTCCTTCAAGTGTCACGGAAAAGCAAACTCTTGGTCCCTGTATTTTATCCAAATTTTTCCCCTCGCGCCTCCTCTTCGTTCATCTACTCGTTTCTCTAACTATTCGTTCATGTAGTAAACGAAGGAAAATTATTGCAATTAAATCGCAATTAAATTGATTCTCTTTCAGATTTTACTTGAAATATCGTCGAACAAAGAAAGAAAATGAAACAATATTGTAATTGCTAGGTGACGAGTACTTATTGAACTAATTCGTGGGTCATTTCAAGAAAAATTGTTAAATAAAAATTGAAGAGTAATCAGAAATATAATTTTTTCATTTAAGAATTGTGTTAGAAGAAAAACAGTTGTGGAATTTTTGAATTTGTAGAAATCAAGTAACCATGTACGTTGCAATGTTGCAATATTGACTGACCCATATTCACCCAATTAACCCTCTTTTTTTAATTGGAGCATACCAATTAACGATTTTTGCAAATAGGAAGTGCATCTGCTTTGTTTTTCAGAATCAGGCAGATCGAAGTAATCACTTTGATAATCAGTATTTTGTGCTAATGGCTTTTCACAATATTTCCGTAATTACCTTGACTGCACGTTTCAGTAACAAAATCTAATAATCCAAAACTGATTATTACGATAAAAAACTCCACGTATCTTCCCACAAAACTACATAATTTATAAAAACACTGTTTTTTAAAATCATCAAAGAAAATTCATTTCTAAATTAATACTCCAAAGTTTATGTCTAGAATAAAAAATCGTGCACTGTTTTTCAAAGAACACCTTTTGAAATTTCAAAATCTGCAAATGTAATAATGCTCGGTGGTTCCAGGTAGTTCAAAAATGTAACGTTTGCGTTTGGAATCGAACTTTCAGCCGAAAAGCAGGAAAATTCGCGTTCAAAAATGTTCACAATAAAATTTCTAACAAAAAAAATTCCAATAGTAGACCCGTCACCGTGAATTCACCAAATCAAACAGTACCGTCAACGCCGGAATAATGGAAACTTTTGCTTCCCAAACAGTACAAGCGGCAGAATCGTGTTTCCCACTCCCCCCTCTCTCATTCTCCATTTTTTTTTCGTTGATCGCGTCCAAACATTTCTCCATTCTCGTTCGTTAAGTACGTGCACGACGACCGTCGTCTGTTACTATCCTAGAGCCTTAAAACGACAACTTCGAGCTTACTCTACAGGAACGAACCTCTCTCTCTCTCTTTCTCTCTCTCTCCTTTTTTAATCGTTTCCCTTTTTTATCCTCTGTTCACACCTAGGAGTTTCGTTAGCGTATATCAAAAGGACTATGTACAAAAGGGTTGGCTGGCAACGCGAAAACGATCTCTCGAACAACTATCGAGCCACGAACCGAAGGGCTTGGTAAAAAGTTGTATTTGGAGAACGTTTTTCCGTTGTCATCGGGCTTAGGAACTATACTTACTGCTATACGATACTGTTCACTGGATTTTTTTTATCTCTTGCGAGTTCTAGCTCTATGAATCTCGAGATTCGATCCGTAGACCACCATTTTGACCGGTGCAGTGGCCATTTTGTCGACTTTTATGCATTACGAGTCGTTTAAAACGGTCTTTCATAGAGTGTCTTTTAACCCTTTGTCTTGTAACAGATGCCTTATTTATGGTATAATTATAATTGGTTTAATTAATTTGATACTTTGTCTGCTTTGATAGATTAATAATCTTTACCTGTAGTGATCACGTGAGTAACGTTAATTATCCACTTTCTACAGTTAAATTATCTGTTTATTATATTATTAAAAGCTGCATTGTTAAAATGTCCTTTTTGAATAATCAAATTAATTACTGCGTTAATAATAATATTTTGTTAATACATTAAATTAATACATTAAATTAACAATACATTATTAATACATTAACAACACATTTGTTGTAGAACACATACTCCAAAAAATAATTAATTTAATATCTATATTCTTGTGTTTGTACAAATACTCAAAGTACTCAAAAAACCTTTTTCAAGTATGATACCTAGAACAATTAATTAAAGAGAGCAGTAATTATATTTAGTTCTTATTATTCAATATATTCTCAAGTATTTAACAATTATAAAATTCTTATCAAATGTATTCATCATTCAGATATGAATCACATGGCAGACAAAATACTAAATAAATTTTGTTTTGAGAATTTCAATAAACCTAACCTAACTCTTTGTGGATGATGGACTCATATATTCGTCCAAACAGAATTATCATAGTAATTTATGAATTCGTGCACATTTTCGACGAATGTTCTATGTTCGTTACATATAATGAACAACTATATGTAGATAAGCATAGACATCATTTTAGAGTGTATGTTCAGTATGAGGATTGTTACTTACTTTAAATAAGTAATATTCCGTACATACACTGTGTCAAGGTTAGGTTTTTCATTCGCAAAGAGTTAGTGACCCTTGGAGTTTTAGAGTACCTTTATTCATTCAGAAGTGTATGGCCTAATGGTGGATATACAGTAACATTCACTTCGATTTATCATCACATACAAATGTAACTTACACTTCACAGAGAAGAATGATTGAAGAATTATCTTTGTATCTAAGAAAAATTATTTTTCACCACATGTATTCAACAGTATCTCAATTCGTACTCCAAGGGTTAAAATTGAAGACTTTCAAAAAATTATACACATTCTGGTCATTTTTATACATGACCAGATATTTTAGAATATTCAATCTCTGAAAATAGTCAAGTATCAAAGGGTTAAAAGTTCAACACTAATTGAGCATGATGCTACACAAATAATAAATAATTCTAAAAAGTTTTTAGAATAATTTTTAAGGAATAGTAAATGTTAGGTAGCAATAGAGAAACGAGGCTGATTTTGAAGGAGACGAATGCACCGGTCTAGTATCTGAACGATGTTCTTAAACGACGCGAGATCACTAAAATGAATTCTTCCTTCCTTCTTTTTCTTTTTTTTATCGATTGCGAGCAAATTACTATATCTCGAGGCTCTTCTTCCATTCGTTTTTACAGTTTCTCGTCGTGCGGGTGCCTGTATGACCATTCGAATGCTTTTGCCTTCTGTTTCACTTGTTGAATCTTCTCGTGAAACTATGCCCTGTTTGATTAGAAATTTTTACGTGACCGTGTGTTGCTAATGTTTAAGTGAGTGCGTTCGTTTCAGTATCGCTCCCATTCGACGCGATTCACGGTAGCTTGTTTTCACTGGGCATTCAGTTCTGACCTGTTAGCAAAAAAACAGATAAAAGTTGTTTAACTTCTACGTTCACATTATATTTGTTATACTTTTATCTCTTATGAAAAATGTAAAAATCTATATAAAAATGTAGATTTTTGAACTCGTTAAAACTTGAGCAAATGTATGAAATAAAAACTGCAATAATTATTAAGATATTTTTTAAATGACATTTCACGACATAAAAGTAGTTAAATATATTTACAATAATGTATTAATTTGAAGATACAGGTTTGATGAAAACACAGTATAAATCGACACGTTCAATACAAAATGGCAGGTTCTTTATTGAAATATTTCCTCATAGATAATTGAAATGCGAATGAGTCGATTTAACGATTTGTCAGCCATTTTATCACAGATACGAAATGAAGCATTTATGTAGCAATTTTCAAGAAACTCTAAGTTTCAAATCGATGTATGATATGTTTCAAAACTGATTATTATTTGCTATAACTGATAAATATTTTATATTGCGTATTTTGCTTAAACCTCTTTATAGTTATTTTCTTTAAACCTTGAACTAAACATTGATATGTCATAAGCGCCATTTTGTAATGTTCCTATGTGATGATATTATGTTTAGTTTTCGATGTTCTACATTTCATTTGATAGACAATAATCCATTATTTATAGAATATTTAAAATAATAAGCTTTCGTTCAAAGAATGTTATACATGTGTGTTAATTGCTTACTTTAATGCTTTATAACGTTCTTTCTCCGGATTGTTGTCAGGTGGTTCGCACTCGAAGGATGCCAAAGCTAGAGCTGTGTTAAAGAAGAAAAAAAATGAAAATTTAGAATATTTTACAAAACACGAAGTTTTAATACTACTAGCAGTTGTTTTAACACTTTGAGTGTAATTTTTTTCATATTAAGAATTTAGTCGTTTCTAAACATTTGAAACTTTCTTTCAATTAAGAATCAAAAAAATAGTATACTTATTTCACGTATTACATCACGTATTACGTATTATCTAATCTTTAAGGATATTTCATGATTTCAAGGACATTCAAAGTATTAAACACATTTTTCACAAATAACTTATTTCGTAAGTTTGTACTTAACTGGATTACTTGTAAAATGAAATTGTAACAAAACAATATCAAAATAGATTAATTGATTATCTGCATCATAATTTTTCCTAGTTTTTAATAATTGAAATGAGTTACTAAAAGTCAAGGAATAAATTTAACATGAAGTTATACAAAACAAATTCAGTTAACATGATCGCTCCTTACATGAAAAACTACTTCCATAAATAAGCTAATTAGTAATTTATTATAACATCATTTCATTATATATTAAATCAGATAAAATAAAAAGATTTATCACCATTTTCAGTCAGCACCGGGCTCGCCTGAAGAAAAGCAATGACGCGTGGGTTCTTCTCAAAGGGACATGCAACTTGTTTCCAGGCGATGAATTCCGTCACTTGCTTTGCTAATTGCCAGAATTTCTCAAAATTGATGTGACCATTTGGTAATCTAGAACATCAATTACACACGAAGATGAGTAACAAGCTATTTAGAACAGTAAATCTACTTGTCATTGTTAAACGATTTATTGGTACTTTGATTGTAGTTGAATTATAAGTAACTATCATTTATTATAAAACCTTCAGAAAATATTCTGATCAAATTATTATATAAATCCATTATTATATATAAATAATATTTAATAGTTACAAAATTATTTTATAAATAATAATATATGTATAAAATTATGTAGTTATTTCACTTATATAACGTTGTACAGTTATTATACATGTATAATTCTATAGTTATTTTCTTAAGATTAATTATAAAAATTGTCTCATGTATTTCATTTAATATTTGCAGAATAAAATCTCTAAAATTAAAATTTTCTCATTTACTTCATTTGAGAGGTACTGAAAGTAATTTGTATTTAAACTGCAAGCACTTAATGTTCCATCAAAATGGATGTCAGACACTTCCTTGATGCTACAAGCTCGTCAAGAACACTCTGTTACAGAGTATTGTGGATCGATAACAACAACAACAACATTGCATCCTTTAACATGCATGTTGGCCAGTGTTTGCGTTGTCTCAGGTACTCCGTACAAAACAACAGACCTCCATTATTTTGATAAATTAATTTCAGGTGATTTTAACTGCATTAATTAACACGAGAAGCGTACTTAATTAACGTGAAATTAGGGATCAACTGTTGCTTTTGTATATAATAGAATAACGAATTAATTATATTAATTATAATTGAAGATTTATTTCATGACGAGTTCATTTTTGGTTAATGTAAATTAATAAAACAATAATTTTACGATAAATTCTTGAATAGTTCTATCGCAAGTTGATATTGAAATTAAATATTTCACTTGGTAAAAGGAAAGTTCATGCGAAGAGGGGCTTTTCGTTCTTCTTCATTTTGTAATTTCAAGAAATGGATTCAAAGTGGTCAGTCAGAGAGAAAGTCTCGGAAACTTACAGACTAGCCTTCTTAAGTTTCATATACTTTCCGAAAGCAATGTGATTTTGCGTGCAAACAGTCTTAAAACTGGTTAAAATCATTCTTACAGGACGGAAGAAAGAAGAAACAAACAGAAAGGAGACAAAGAAAGAAAACAGAATTAGTATTATAAATGAACGTGACACAATTTAAGGTGCAAACATTGTTAAATTTTAAATTTTAAATAAATAGTAACCTTCAAAGAAAACATTATGGATAAGGAAGAATTTTATATATGAAGATTAATATTATGAAAATTAATTCTATTCGCAATATTAATTGCACATTTATGTATTAAACTGTAGTTATGGGTGATCAATATCTTCAGTTTCAAAATTTTATGTGTATTTCCATATTTCTAAGCTTTTACATTTCCATATTTCAAAATTTTTGAAAAATAAGATGTTATACGTCTGTACATTTAAACTGGCATAATTTTGTATTTCAAAATTCCATTTTCAAGTTTGTTGACTTTCTAAATCAATAAATTCAGTAATTTCGATTTTTCGAAATCATCAAATTTCTGAATTCGATAAATAAATATCGAATTCTTATAATTAAAAATTCTAAAAATACCAATTTTTAAGTTTTCAAATTCTCAAATTCGTAAATTCTCAAATTCTCAAATTCTCAAATTCTCAAATTCTCAAATTTAAAAATTAAAAAATTTTCAAATATTTAATCTTTCGGTTTTCTAAATCACCCAGTTCGCAAATTTTCAAATTCTTATGTTTCGAAATGTACAAATCCCAAATTTTTGCATAAATCTCTCAATTCTTAAATGCTTAAATTTCCAAAACACCGAATTTTCAAGTTTCCAAATTTCTAAATTCCAATTTTCCGAATGTCCAAATTTCTAATGTTTCGATTCCCCAAATCGCTAAATTCACAAACTTCCAAATTTCCAAAACACCGAATTCTCAAATTTTCAAATATCTAAATTCTCAAATTCTCAGATTTCATATTTTCAAATTTTTTTTTAATCCACTTAACCAATTCTTCAGTTATATTTTCAAATTATCAACTCTTCACATTCCCGAATTTTCAATATTTCGAATCTCTAAATAGTAATATTCCCAAACTTTCAACTTTATTTTAACCACTTAAAATCTATTCATCTGTTGCATCAATGAATATATCAACTAATATAAAATATCTGCATATAACAAATACATTTACCATTAATTATAACATTAAACACAGACCATTAACCCTAATAGCTTTGTACACAAAAATATTGTTTATTACATAGCAATTTACTTTTAGTCACGTTCCGTCTAATAAAGTTCCCCAATTTGCAATATGGTGACAATTTGGCTGTCGTCGTTTGTATCAGTCGAATGGAATTTCTTGGCGGCTACATAACACAACGATACAACGTGTATGCGATGGCATGAATGTTCTACGAAAACGTGGAGAAAATTACGAGTCGAACTTGAGCAATTTATCGTCGGTCGGAAATGCGCGAATTCGCGCACCAGCTACGTTCGTTTCCGATTACACGACGTCCACGTTACAGACGTTCACATAACAGACATTTACATACGCGGAGCCATTCGTTTTCGTTCGCTTGGATGCTTCGATCGATCAGTATCTATCGGTGACATACAGAAAACTTACTTTTCTTACGGTTTCCTTTTTCCAAACATTCTTTTTTATTAAAATTTTAAATTGAAACTTTATTATTAATTTTAGAATTTTTATTCATTCATTTCTTTTTAACTCATATGCGTTTCAGTGGCAGAAAATACATATAATATCGTGTTATTTATGAACTATAGCAACATGTTTTGCAAAAATTTATATAATTGCGGTACAGGAAGCAAGATTTTTATGAAGTGTAAAGTAAAGAACAAAAAAGTGAAATTCTACAATTAAAATAGTTATATCTTTAGCATTTTTCTGCAAAAGTAATAAAGGTGTAACTTAGCACCAGTACCTTTCTGTAGAACCTATGTATAAAAGTACTAAAGGAGTTATAGAATAAAAGAATAAAATATATAAAGAATAAAAGGTATAATTTGTGTAATTACAACAACTTCAAGGTGTGAATTTGAATTCTTTAAGCCAAATTACAAATTTAGGATGTAGGAGAAAACAGTTCACATCAGCAGAAATAGCAAATGGAAAATGTGGAGTAAAAAATTGCAAATTGTTCTTCTGTCCATCTAATAGAAATTATCACCTCATATTTTCAGTGATCTGAGTATTTGGTTCAGAATTGTGGTCAGTATTCCTTATAACAATTGTCAAAAAGAAAATCGACATATTAACATAAATATTAAGTTGAGTGTTATGAAGTCTGATTTCTGGTATTTCATAAATACATGTACCAACATTGTATGTATTTCTAAAAAATATTTTCTGTATGATAAAAATATTTGTACATAACTAGTGGATATTAGTTCAACAGTTAACGAATAGTGATATAAATAAATAACTAAAGGTAGTATAAATAATATAAATACAGCAATATTGAAGGAATATTGATCATAATTCAAAAACTAGTCAAGAATTAATTAATTAAGAATGTCAGTATATTTGTGCGACGCAGTAATAGTTACAACGTTGTTCATATCTGGTGCAGATATGATTAAAGTGCATAATGTAGAGACATTTGTCTGCAGTACGCATCTTGGAGCAATTTGTATTCACGTGTCTGCACCCTGATCTGTTCTCGCAATTCGGCCAAATGTTCTCCCGCTGTTCAGACGATGCCAGCCCGAGCCGGCATTTTCCACGGGTCCTTCGTGCCTGCGCCATTTTCGAGATAATACACGGCGTTACGAGTTTAATGCACACACGTTACAGACACTCGCACACGTATCGTTGTCCGGTAAATATCGCCTCAAGTACGGAGGAGCGATTCGGTGGGTAGAATTTTTTTTCTAATGAAACTTCTCACGGTGCTACGCACTGAGCTTTTTCGAGCGACGGATTCATTTCGCCTCGCAATCGCAAACGCGTAATGAGTTTTCCGAATGAAAAGCGTTCTGCAGCGCCGAGTCATTGTGATGATTAATCACAGCCACGCTATAAAATGTTCACAATGGCCGGCAATTGTTAGGGTCGTTGAGCGAGAATGGGAACAAGTAGAAAAGGTTTGGAGAAAACTTTGAAACGTGCTGGAAATGATGAGGTTGAATATGTTGATGCCGTGAATTCCATTACCTATATTGCAGCGAAATATCTATTATGAGAATAAAGGTTCGTTCAAACGATTCATTACAAGTTACAGGCAAACATTGCACATACGTATAAAATACATACGTAACAATAGGCGATGCATTATTACGAGGCAGCGGGTATTTATACGATTATATGGAAGGCATGACCATGAATTTCATAGGTTGTATACATTTATGTTTGTAATAATAATAATGTAATAATTTCTAAATATTCACGGTTTAATCATTACTATTGAGAGGTATATTGTTCTGTGTGTTCCTTCTGGGTAAAAATGTGGAAAATGGAAGTGTAAAAAATGGAAATATCACTTTCTGATAATTCAGTGATTCTATTCCGAAAAGATTAATATTAGTAATAAATAAGACATATGGAATTTCGTGTTATGAAGCATTAAATATAATATTAAGTTGAACTTAATTACATACATATTATTTTAAATATTAAACATAATCCTGTCAACTCTAATCATCAATAAGATTAATTTTAAAGAAAATTTAGGACAAGTTAATATTGAAAACTATCTCAAATTTTAATAAAAGTAAAATTTCTTTTCTAACATAAAAGATTTTGAGTTTCTTTTTTAATACATGTGTACATACGTATAGTACTAGAATAGCTCCATCTCTAGATTAAATTTCGAAATCTCAGTAAGTGCAACATATAAATGGCAACACTTTGCAGAAACTTAACGGACGAACAATTTTTGCAAGATTTTTATTTGAAAAAAGGAAAAGGAGATTCAGGGGATTCTTTTTCCCCGTCCTTTTTTTCTCTTAACCTTCCTTCCGTTCTTCTTTTCAACAACTTCTGGTCGAGCTACGAGGAAACAACTTTTGCTATTACAAGTTTAATAAGTTTACACGTACAGTTTGTAGAGAGAGGCATTTCCCGCGCGCGCGAAGGCGAAGGAAATGGCATGGCACATTCGTCGCCGTGATAAATACGCTCGACAAAAAGGGCTGAGAGGTTGAGCACTTTGTGAGAAAACGAGCTTCCTGTCAACGTATCGCCTCTGCAGGAACAAAATTATTGAAGCTTCAAACGAAACTCGGCAAAAAAAACTTCTAGCCGTGGAGTGTTCGATGGTGAAATCATCGACGATCGCTTCCGACGATGTCTCTGATTCTCTCTAACTTCGTTCAACAAGTTAAATTACTTTATAAGCATTATTTCCGTATTCGATTCTGCTTTCAAGGCTTCAAATTATAATATTACAATTTCAGATGCATTTCTGTTACTTGTGTAAACTTTTTGTGATTAAGAACTTTTGGCGATTCTAATATTTTAAAAATTGATTATAATTATTAGGTTATTGTAGTTTAAAGATAAATATGTATTGTGTAATAAGAAAATCGTAGTGACGGATACACGTCGACTATTATGAAACTTTGCATAATTCTTTAATGCATATATGTAATAACATAATAGTGACTCTTTGGTACATAAAGTGGCAATTAAATACAAAATAATTGCAATAATTATGTAGTTTGATACATGAAATGCATTTATAAAGAGAGTTATGTATAACAAAAATGTAACATTTACAAAGAATAATGCATAAGGAATATCAATTTTTAGAGAATGGATGCTTCTATTCATAACAAAAAAGTAATACGAGGTGCGATCATTAAGTTTCCGGACTGGTCCCGTATATGCAGATACAGTTACCTTTTTCAAATTTGGCTGTTATCCCCTTCAAAGTAATCCCCTTGGGCAACTATACACCGATTCCAGCGCTTCTGCCATTTTTGGAAAGCTTCCTGAAAGTCTTCTTCTTGAAGCGTGTCGAGCACCTCTTGCGATTCGCGTTGAATCTCGTCCACCGTGTCAAACCGTCGATCCTTTAGCTTCAATTTCATTTTGGGGAACAAAAAGAAGTCACAGGGTGCCAAATCTGGCGAGTATGGAGGGTGAGGAAGGACGATCATGTTATTTCGTACACAAAACTCTTGTGTTACGAGTGCTCTGTGTGCTGGCGCATTATCGTCTTGGAGCACCCAATTCCTCTTTGCCCACAGTTGTGGTCGTTTCCGACGAATGTCCTCCCTGAGACGTCTTAAAACGTTACAATAAAAAGCACCAGTCACTGTTTGACCCGTGGGAACAAATTTGCGGTGCACAATCCTATGAATATCGAAAAAAACAATGATCATGCTCTTTGTTGAGCTTTTGACCTGTCTCGCCTTCTTCGGTCGTGGAGATTGAGAGCTTTTCCACTGCGAAGATTGCCGTTTAGTCTCAGGATCGTATCCGTAAATCCCACTTTCATCATCGGTAATGATCCTTGTTAAGAGTTCCGGGTTATCCAAACACTGCTGCCGCAGATCTTGACAAATTTGTAGCCGGTGGTCTTTTTGTTCTCGCGACAGATGTCTGGGAACGAATTTCGCAGCAATGGGGTGCATGTTCAAAATTAAGGTCAAGATCATTTGTACCTCCCCAAATGACATCATCATGATATCGGAAATTTGTTTGATGGTGATGCGTCGATCTTCATGCACAATTGCCCGAATTTTTTCCACGTTTTCGGAAGTGCTGCACGTGAGTGGCCGCCCGGATCTCTCGTCGTCTTCCAAAGATATCCTGCCATTTTTGAATCGCGAATGCCACTCAAAACAGCTCGTCCACCCATGGCTTCATTCCCGTAAGCCTGTTTTAACATTGCGTGCATTTCGGTCGCCGATTTCCCGAGTCTCACACAGAATTTAATGTTAGCTCTTTGATCCAATTTGGAGTTCATCGTAATTTCGCAGCGGAGCGCGCGCGTATGCTACTATGTATAAAATTGTATAATGCATGATTTAATGAACATATCGCTTCTAAACTTCGTGTCATTTATCTTGAAGATTGTTATTCATATGTTCTGCGAGCGCATGTCAATTGTGTGAACCGTTTGGTCACAGCAGACACAGTCCAGGAACTTAATGATCGCACCTCGTATATACGGAAGCCTTCCAATCAAAAACATAAAAATAGTAAAGTTGAAAGTATTTCATGTATAACACTGTTTGATGTATTATTATATTCTTAAAGTGTTAATAAACAAGTGTAATACGGGTGAATACTGGGTACACATTTTAGGTTATGAAATCCAAGTTAGGTTATAAAATATGTATCTTCGAAGTTATGAATTTTATGACAAAAATGTATGAAATAATTAATTTTTATTAAAAAATATGTAATTAACGTGATATAATGAAAACATTAATACTGACAAGAAAATTTATTTGTTCTGGCGACATTAAATTTGATGTAATGTATGTAGTTACTCATGCATTTATTTGAAAACGACCATCTCTCTGTTTTAATTTAAATTAAAGAAAAATGAAGTGTGTAATTAAACACGGGACAAATTTATAAATGTATATGCATTATTTTCAGTACCATCCAATATATTCCGTTCAAACAGGTACCAAGTAAAATATTAAATACCTAGAGTTATTCAAGAATGTTCCAAATATAAACCTGAAATCGAAGATTGAGATCTTTTGATTAAAAATCTGTTGACTCTGTTTTATGGTAAACTGTAAATAATTAAACGTTGGTGGAGAGCTTGAATCAGTGCAATTTTCATTACCCAGAAATTATCACGAGTATTATTAACCTTCTCAGTAAGGTATAAACTGTTCATACCTAAGAATCAAAATACACTTTCATGTCTCAATAAAAGTTTAACTTCAATTGCACATGCACTTAAGTAAGTCACGACGATTTCTCCGAGCGCGTATACGTAAGTACTAAATAAATACCAAAGTACTCAAAAGGTTAATCCGAGATTTTTACTCACTTGTTGCTGCATCCTTCGTTCAGAAAGTAGAGATCCTTGACCAGCAAGCTGAAAAAGGGCACGACGATTCTTTGCCGTTCGTCCGTAGCGCCGGCGCTACGCCACATTGCTGCTTTTAAGGTGCTACGATAGCTGCTAAAATTGCTACTTGGATCCATCTGATGCTCCAGAATCGAGAACTTCGCCAGCTGCACTTTCGACCACTGTAACAAAAAATCATATTTCGCATTTACAAAAGTGCCGAGTAAGAGTACAGCAATTATGGTCGCTTCAAATACGCCATTCACGAGCTACTTGCTATTGAGTCTACAGACTAGATGTCTCACGTGAATTCGAGTATATATTAAACTTTAGATCTATTTTAAACATATAGGTAGAATGTTGTACAATTTTTCTAATTGTTTTATAAAAATAAATTGATACCTTTTAATCTTACTTGTTTAGTTTTAATGTTTTATGTGTATAGACTGATAATATTTTATATACATTGAAAAGGACAAAGTTGTTACTTTATAATAAACTAGCTTCTTAACTCTTTGGTACCACGCAGCGTAAGAAAATAATTTTTTTACAATCGCGTGTTAAAAAGGTATAGCTCTCACAGACCCCACACTTAATTGGTAACGATATTCATTAGATTGTCACATTCTAATGTAGAACAAGAATGAGATGTAGATATTTTAAAGTCGTTCTAAACGTGTCTGAAACTATCGAAAACGATATCAAACACGATCATTGTTGATTTCACGATGACTGACGTCAATGACGACCAAGTATTGTCCCCAACGATGAGTTATGGAGCTTTTAACGTGGCTCCAATTGATTCTATGTGTCAGAAATGATCGAAAATGATATCAAAACTCGACGATCGATGTCGGTGACGACAGATACCTGTTGTCAGATAGCTGACATAATTTATGCTGCAAATTTACGGTGTCTTACGAGTCTATTTTCAAAATTTCATGTCAAAAGATCCGAAATGGCAGCCTGTAGCGTGGCACAGACAAACGAACAAATGCGAATTGAGTCGTTTCAGGAGCCTCATTAGGCTTGGCAATTAACTAACAATTAGTTTTCCATTAATTAAACAGACAATGAATGCATTTAAACTTGATTGTATCGTATGTAAACCAGGTAATCTCTCTTGTATAATTGTTAATTATTTGCTTTGTACTCCTAAAGGATTGAAACCCTTTGGTACATAAATAAGTGAATATATTGAAGATAATATAGATGTATATTGCAGAAAACTTTATAAATTTCTGCTCTACAAATGTTCATTTTTAAGATTTGACAAATTTAATACGATTGAATAGTAGTAAAAAGAATATAATAGATAAATACTTTTGACGTCAATTTTTTGCAAGAAAATAAACTAAAATTAGAAAATTGAACGATTATTTTTTAACAGGTTTCATTCAAGTATACCACGTATGTTACCATTTGCATTTGAAATTACAATCAATATGAAAAATATTGATTACATATTCAAAACTCAAATACATAGTAAAATACGTATCCAAAATTACTAATTGAACATAATAATTTATAAATATTAAAATCATCATTAATTTATGATACTAGTAGTAGAAAAATTATAATTTATCACACATACACAAAATGTAAACAAATAGAAATTACAACATTCAGTCTATTATGAAAATTTTATTAAATATAAATTATATATTCGAATAAAAGCAATAAATAAGAAGATTTCAAAGAAACATTGCATTTATAATAATGTAAATAGTTTTTGAAATAAAGTAAACAATAAATTTCTATTTAAAATTAATCTGAAGTCAAGTAAAAATTGATGTGAATATCATTTACGTATCAAATAAACGCATATCAGTACGATCGGAAGAAGTTACATCCCATATAAAAACAATTGATAGGATTTCCATTTAAAGCGACTAAATTAAACTGATGCATTACCATCGAGCGCGAACCGAACAAAAGGAGATAATTAATTTTACGCCGGAATAAACTTGCGAAAGCGAGAACGTTGCACACACAGGAGAACAACAAATATATGAAATTGCACTTTATTTCAATTAATAACAATTCCGTATTAATTCTTAATCGATTATGCATCGTTAGGAAGATCTTTTTATTCATCAGTTTTCTGATAATTGAATACGAACACTTCTCGACGTTTACGATAAAACTTAGATTGAATGAGGAAATGTAGATAGGTTAATTCATTGATTTAAGATTCATTTAAAAATTTTTCAAGTTTCAAATTATTAAATTTATAATGTCTGAATATGTAGGTTTAAGAATTCGATACTTCAGTTCTTTTGTATTTCTGAGTTTGTAAATTTAGAAATTATAGAAATTATGGAAATTATATTACATTAAAAATCATATTTGGAATCGCGGAATTTTCAAATTTCTAAAGTTTCAAAATTACCTAACTTTTACATTTCCAATTTTCAAAATAAATACATGACAGAATTTTTATATTTCTGAATTTCTAAATTTCTAGATTTCTAAATTTTTAATACAATTTTCAAAATTCTATCTCATTAATTTCTAAACTTTCAAATTTCCAAGTATTCAAGTTTTTAATATTAAATTGCAAATTTCTTGCTAATCTATAAATTTCCAAATCACCAAATTTTCGAATTTCAAAGTTTCTGAATTATTGCGTTAATGAATGATTAAATTTTCAAATAATATTAATTTTGAAAATTTCTACTAATTCAAAAATTTCCCAATCACCGAGTTTCCAAATTCTCAAAATTCTATAGTTTCGAATTTCCATATTTCTATAATTCCCAAAATCCCAAATTATAACGCACAAAATATTATTCCGAAACAACTGACAATTAGAAAATTCAATAAAACAAAATGTTCCATAATCTGCTAATCAGGTGGTCGAAAATTGGTTAGTACTTTACTAGATCCAATTCATGTTGCTTTTACCATTAAAATGCCACGGGGTTCACTATAAAACGCGACCAGACACTCTGGATGGTGGTCCAATTTAATTTACCGGAAACTATTTCACCGTTCGTCGACGTTGTACCACGTTATACGCTAATTCGTATTAATTAAACTGAATTTCGTTTAGCCTGGACTTTTTGGGTCGATCAATTAAGTCCGGTTTTAATGTAATAGCAACATCATTGAACAATCGTTAATTTTAACAGTCACAGCTCGTAAACTGAATTCATTCGAATTCTTTTTTCAAATTTCAACATTAAAATCTGACAAAGTTTGACATTAATCAGAAAATTTAATTAAAGTTATCACATTAGGATTCCAAAATCGAAATGTTTGTATGACAATTTCAAAATTTAGATTCTCAAACTTAAGTTTTTAACTTTAATTTTTTGGATTCAAGCCTGGAATTAAGCTTCTAAATCAATGTCTTCAAATTTACGTCAAAATTTCATTCAAAAGTTAATTTATGCTTTCAAGTTATAGTTTGTATATTTATGTTTTCAAGTTTCAATTTTTACTCCTCAACCATCAAATAAAGTTTGAATCGAATATTGTTTTTAAAATATTTTTAAGTTTGTGCTTCCACTTCAAACTTATCAAGATACTTCCAAATTTAAGATTATCAATCGAAGTTCTGAAATGAGAAATTTCAAATTAAATTTCACGTAAAGTATTTATTATTATCGTATAGAAGTTAAAATATTATTTTAAACCAGCTATATAAATAAATGCAATACAACGAGAGTCCACCTTTCCGTTTTAAGTTTTGTGAATCCATAAAATCGTCTAACGGATGAATTGTTCGTTCCAGACGAATACCAAAATGCATCTACTTTTAGAATTTTCCTTCACTGTCGATTTATCCGTCGACGATCACCACTGGAGTTAGCAAGTGGAAAAATTGATCCAGCAGAAGCTCGAGACTTCTGTTTTCCGCAGATAGGAAAAACGAAAAATAAAATCGGCCCGACTAAAATGATGTAATCGATGCTATCCGGTTTTGACGGAGGAATTAACACTCGAACGATTGCGATCGTCGATGTGGAAGGAACTGATATGGACAGGATCGATTGAAAATTGTACATTATTCGTCCGCTGATACGATTTTAGCTTTTTCTAACGGATAAACTTTCTATTCTAAATCGATATTGTATGGTAGAATAATTGTATTTAATAATTTATTTCGTTTCAATGTAATGTACGTTGTGATAATAAAAAGCTTATGTTCCTTACGGCGCGGCGTTGATCATAACCGCGTCACGCTCATACCTGCGACGCGACGCTTAAAATAATTATTCAGAAATCAATTAACGGTATATGAAGACGCATATAAAATGTCTAAATTATATATCTAATAAACATTGCAAATAACAACAAATTCCAAAAACACGTATCCTCTATTTTTGTCCATAGTTTACGTACACGAAGTTGCAAAAAAATACAACATTTAGTGCAAAAATTTAAACAAAAATTATAAATTTTCAAAATATTATTTAAACAAATAAAGTTTATTGAAATTTTTTTAAGCGCAAAAATTCCGTATTTAAAGGCGAATTTACAAAAAAAAGAATCCAATTATCTCCTTTAATTCCGGAGATATTTCCAAAAATATGATTCCAACCCCCAACTTCGAGGGCTATTTTCACCCCTTCAATGTGAACGATGGTCGATAAAAAAAATTGTCAAATATTTTCTTGAGAACTATCTTTCACATAAGTTTCATTAAAATCGGTGTGTCGCGGTTCAATATGTTTCCTTGTAAGCTTTCAACTTTTAATTTTCAAATCTAAGCTTCTTAAATTTAAATTTGAATTTATGAATAAAAATTTTTCATCTAAGCTTTTAATATTTAATTTTCAAATCTAGTTTGTCAGGTTTTGATTTCCTAAATTTTCAAATTTAAGTTTTGAGATTTAAATTTTCAACTAACATTCAGATATTACTTCTTCAATCTATGAGTTTAATTTACAATTTTTAGATTTAAGTTTTCTAGTTTAAATGTTGTAAAATAAGGAATTCAAACTGAAATTTATAAATGTAAGTTTTCAGGTGTAAATTAAAAAATTTAAACTTAAGTTTAAATTTAAACTTAAGTTTAAATTTTCATGATCGATGAGTTGAAATTTAAACAGATTTGATTTTACATAATATTATATGAGTCGTTTATTTTGAAAGTGGTCTAAGTTCATGTGCCAGTTGTTTGTTCTTAATTGTAGTAACATGTACCACTTGATTAAAAATAGAATAAAATGAA